TGCTATTCGACGATGAAAGTCCGAAGATGGAAGGAAATGACCTTACACCGTGAAAATAGCAAGAGTACCCACCGCTCGATCCCCGTGGCGGTCTTTTTTTTCCTTTTCCTTTTTTTTTTTTTTTTCTCCTTCTCGTTCTTTACGTGATTCTTTTTTGCCTTTATAATTGGAGGCACCTTCCCCGGCTCGGCTGTGAAAAACGAGTATTATAAGTTGTTTTGCCAGAGTCCCTTGGGCCCCGATGGTCTTCTCTCGGGGGACGAAAGAGGGAAACGAGCCACAGAGAAGCGATTATTTCGATTCGGTGTGCTAATTGGACGATTTACTTTTTGCTCCTCCCTCGTTGCCCAACGCGTCCTTTATGTCGCCTTAAGGGGCTTTCCCCCCCCTGCTCCTTAATTAAGTGGTAATTAGCGCGAAAACGTGTCAATGCGTATACTTTAGTTTCGAGCAAGTACAATCTCACGTGTACTTTGTACCGCTTCTCGTTGAAAATTACATTGATGCTTCATATCGATCAAGCTTTGTTTAATTTTAAACTCAAGTTCAAAAACTGATGTAGTTATTCAACCATAATATCCGTGCAAGCGAAATACTTGATACGAGAGGTGCGAACATTTTGCGCGTAAATCATATCTAAAAGTTCGATCGAGAGATGGGGTGATGGCGAGGCAGGGTATTTTTAAATTAGGGAGAATTTCAAGTTAGCCATTGAGAGGGGCTAGAGAAAAAAATAATTTTCAAGTAGCACCCCTTGGTAATTACACATCAATGTTTTCATCTTTATTTTCAATCAAAATACGTGGTTTCAACTAGCGTTGTATAATTATTTGAGTATATTATTTTTACATAAGCCGCAAATATTCGTGTTAGTTAATTAAATTATCTAATTATACTAGTTTTTTCAAGCACTTTTTGGGTTGTCAGGAAAAAATCATAACTTTGTCCCAATAATATGAAGTTGTTAAAATGCGTATTTTTTGAGATCGATAACTGTTGTATCCAAAATTTTGTTGCACATTTTCAACTTTTTAGAAAATTATAGGGAATTATAGAAGACTATTACTGTGGATTGACGAGCGATCAAATCTCTTCTTCTGGAAAAACAATTGAAAAAAATGAAAAAAAACACAAAGATATCCATTAATTATTTGTAGATTTAAAAAATACATATGATTATACGGTTTTACTCGTAATTACCAATAACCCCTCGATTACAATCTCAAAATAAAAAAGAAAAAAGAGAGACAGAAAAAAAAAAAAAAATATGGATATAAAAATCACGCAGCGGTGCAAGGTATATAAATGCAAGATCGAGATTGGACAGAGGCGATGATGTTACGGTACACACACGACTTACGGCCGTTGGACCATTAGTTTAGCCATAACGCTCCGACGCATAATACACGACACAATGGATTCTATTATTGGATATTCATCTGGTTCTCCCTTTCCTTCTTCCAGTTGATTTTTTTTTTTTTTTCTTCTTCTTTCCTCTTTGCACTGCAGCGGACGCAGCTTTGGTTGTGAGGATCCATAAAATTAAGATATCGCGGGCTCACGCCTCGCACCGGCTATTACACCCCGCCAACTCCTCCTCGCCCCGGCAATTAAGTAAACTGGCTCGAAAACCGGGGATGGGCGTCGCCTGCTCATGCGCTCTCTCTCTCTCTCTCTCTCGACAAAGAAATCGATAGAAAATTCATAATTCACGCTTGTTATTGAAACAATTATTTCCCCCTCTATCTACTTACAACAGTCTATACATTTTTTATTTTTTTTATTTTGTTTATTTTGGGAAAAAAAGGCTTCTTGACACGAGGAACCTATAATTTAAAAAGATGATGGAAGAATAATCCGACGTGCGGTGTATACGGCGCGTACAAAAAGATGATCGAGTGCAATCGCGACGAAGGAAGCCAGACAAGTGTACGAGTAAAAAGCAGCAGCGATGAAGGGGGGGTTGGTGAAGAAATAGAGTAAAAACAACAAGAAGACAGCTACTTAGTAGTCGTAGGTATAAATCACGATGCGAGAGGTGATGGCTTTCACGAGGCGGTGTGTGTATTATACGACTTTACGCGTATACACCCATATGTAATCGTATATTATATGATACAGCCGCGTCGAAAGCATATTCCTTTCAACTGTCAATTAAAAATCACGCTTTGAGATCTATTGCTTCGAAATTATTATTATTTATTTATTTATTTACAAAAAAACTTGATTGCTGTGCAAGAAAAATGTCAAAATGTATTTTAAACCACTTNAAAAAAGTAAATGCTTAGATTTTTCACTTATAGTGGTTCCCCAAAAGTATGCATCGCTTATTTTTTATGGCTCAATTAATCTTATTTAGTAAATCAATTAAAAAAAAATTTTTGTACATTATTGTCCAATACCTTTCGAAACGTTAAAAAAAAATATAAAAATCGTTTAAATCGTTTAGTAAATCATTCCTCGAGTTTCGACATATTTATCCCTATTTAAATCTTCATTCGTACAAGTCACTATTCTTGTATTGTAGTCATCTAAGAAATGTGGTGAAAAAATACTGCTCAAATTATAGTTTAATTTTCTCATTTTGTTATTAAAATTACTACAGGACAAATACCGATTGAATGAAACAAGAGTTTTTTATAGTTTGAATATAATGAGAACGGCTAAGTTGAGTAATAAACTTTTTTTTTTTTTTTTTCAACACATGAAATGATCTTTTTGTGCATTATTCAATATCAACAAAATTCACTTGCAATTGGATTTGCTACTGAAAACTCGTGATCTCGGTCAAACGGAGACGAAAGCTACGCGTAACGCACCCAAGAGGAAAAAGCAAAAGCAAAAGAAGATGTGCAAAAAAAAGAGAGAGAGAGAAAATCATAAGAACCGACAGCTAACACGCGAAAGAACAAGGGATGAGATGGACCCACATGGCATATCTCCACGTGTTAACCGTCGTCATTTTGCGTAATAATATAGCTACGGGCGCAGTCGAGGGAGAAAGCTAAGGAGTGCATAAACACACGAGACACCAGCACCAGCGGCAGCGACGAATATGAGGAAAAAAAAAAAAAAGAGAGAGACAGAGAAGGAGAGAGAGGAGAATCTGGGGCTGTCGGCCCGCTCTCGTTTGTATCCGCGTCCAATTAGCTTTGCAACGGCCTGGCAAAAAAAGCGTTCGATCGAGAATAACCGGCATCAGTCGACTCTCCACGCATCTCTTTTGCTCCTGTTTCCTTATCTTCTCTCGTCGTCTTCTCCCTCGACTCTCGCGTGACCGCGTGTGCGTCTACACATATACATATAATAATCCTTTCGATAGATATTGCTTACGCGTATACGATCGTCTTCTTTCTCTGCTACTCGTAATAAAAATAAAAATTTTAAAAATCTTCCCTTGGTGAACACGAAAATTATTACAGACAATGGATTCATAAATTTTTCCCGTATCAACTATCGTACCCTGTTTCTCAACTTGAGTGTACTTTTGTTTAACTCTGGATGGTACTCTAGTTATAGGAAAAAACAGTACTCACTCTCGAAACTGGTACACATCTAAACCTCGAGCCCTAGGCTTCATTTGTTGGAGATAACGCACCAGTACGCCGAAAAAAAATTTTTTTTTTTTTTTTTTTTTTTTTTTTTTTTTTTTTTTTTTGTTTTTTTTCTTCTTATTACTCCTTTATACTCTTCTTCGCTCCCTTGTGCACACACGGACGCGCACACACATGCCCCGTACGAGGAGAGAAAGAGAAAATCAGAGGGCCCCCGTTCTCATCCTCGATCGCACGGTGCACTGTTCATCTGTCCGCGCAGTTAAATTTATATCTTTCTCATTTAGGTGTATACCACTTGTGCCTCGTTCCTCTTCCCTTCTTTTTTTTTCCTTTTTGCTCTCTTTCGTATCGTTTTTTTATCTATCTCCTCTTTCATGCTGCCCGAATCGAGAGCTCGGTTGTTTTTTTTTTTTTTTTTTTTTACTTCCCATCTCCTCGGCTGTGCGAACCGATTATTATCCAAATCATCGATCTCGAAACAAAGTACGTCAAGCTTAAATTGCACCGCTCCTCGTACGTTTACAATACATACATATATACATACATACACGCGCGTTCTCACCCCTACCACTTGGCGTTGTTTGAAAACGATTTTGTTAAATTTCCCCCCCCCCCAATTATTATAACCCACGTGCAAACGCATTACGTAAGATATTGGATGTGCGATTTCCATACCGATCTCCGCGGGGAGCTTCGTAATTCATTGGCACCTCCGTTGTCGTGCCAAATAAGAATATCGAGTAGATGTGTGACAACTTGAACTTATCGGCGCGCGATCGAGTCCATACCGATTTTTTAAAAAAAGCACGCCGTATAGACAGCGCACGGTTGACTGCAAGATCCGCCCTATCGTGGCCCTGCACGAGCTCCTTACCGATTCCGAAAACGAGAAAAATAAAAATCCTTTCCAGGACGCTTGGCTGTTGATCATTATCATTACCGTAACTTTGCGCACACGCAAAAAAGCCGGGCGAGAGAACGGACCGGCAAGCGGGAGCCGCCGCACGTGTGTTATATATATATATACATATACATATATACGGGAGCAAGGAACCGAGGCTTCTGATGCTCCTTGAGCTCGGCCCGGGAAGTGTTAAATTAAGAAAGGGTTGCTGTACACTGCGGCTCGCGCATACATTATCGGTAGCCGTAAGGGACCATTGAGCTGTAGGTAATTACACATATGTGTATGTTTCGGCAATGTTATGTTGTGTACCAGTAAGTGTACATGTATATACGGCATTTAAGAAGGCAGATCAACAGTACAGTGTACAGGTGTGTACATACATATTGTATACACATGTGGAGTGGTGATGTATACCTACCAGCAGGAGTAGTAGTGGGTATATATATATATATATATATATGTGTGTAGTACGGTGTTGGCCGTCAGCGCCAGCATCCGATATGTATCTCAGGGGGGGCTTAGTCCGACACCGAGAGTCGAGTGGGCTGCATGCACGCTCTCCGCCGCGCTCCCGAGTACAGCAGGTCCAGGCAGTGCTCGATTTGCCATTCGCGATCCATATCCTCCCACGTGAATACGATTTGCGATCCAAGCGGGAATTATCTTTGGAAAATTTCGTGCCGCTTGGCTGTAGATCGGGAAATAGTTACCAAAGACCCATCAGCCGCGTACCGATTTCCAATAAGATCGTCGTGAAATCTTTAGTGTTTTTCAAGTTTTCCTCGGGATTTTTGAGATAACAAGAGAGTACACTGTTTGTTTTTAAAATATAGAGAGTAGGGAAAAAAAAAACCAGGGGCCGGTCGATAGATCGGTAAGACTCGGCGGCGTGAAAAATCGGCAACAGCCGAATATCATTGGTTAATAAGGTTTGTCTTCGCAGGGATACACAGATAAATTGAGCGTGAGAAAAGGTGTACATCGTCGGGTGAGAGGATACCGGCTTACATATATCCGTAAACACATACACACACGTATATATATACACCTGGTGTACCTGTAAAAATACCCGAGTTGTACTGTTTCCCGGGAGAGAGAAATCTCGGGCTGGAAATATAATATGCGGCGGCGGGCTGGGCCGGTCCTGGCCTCGGCGGCGCTACTCTTGCTCGTTTTGCTCGAGCCGGGCCGCTGGTGTGCGGCCAAGCACCGGCGCGGTCAGGGCGGTGGACACAAACCCGAGGGCGACATGACCCTCTGGATCGACCGCCAGCAGATTAAAATGTTCAGTGGTGAGAAAAATTTTACTTCCTTCCTTCCTTCGTTCGTCACCCTCCAGATGAATCATATTATTTTTTTTATTTTTTATTTACTATTTGAGGAAATCGTGTTCATGGCACGTGTGTCATTCTGCTTTCTCGTGGAAGGAGTGATTTCTCAGGGGACGAATGGTCGAACGACGATGTTTTTGTTGACGTGCATTACTCGGGTTCGCTCGGGTTGTCCGTGGAAATTACCATAATCACGACTCGATCGACATTATTTTTGTTGACTTCGGTCTTCAGTCATAGTTAACAATGAAAAGTTTTTTTTTTTTTAAGTTGTTTTTACCTGCAAATCATAAAGATTAACTTGAGATAAAATTTTATTGAAAATTTTTGGAATGTACGCTAAAACGTATGTTAGATTAATCTCAGGGTTTTCTAGAACAATGTTGATGTAAACAGGCTTAGTTTTGTGGTTTTAATTGAGGCTTTATTGGTACTAAATGATTGAAACTACTTTTTTTTCTTTTTTTACAATTAATTTTTTATTTTTAAATTGTAGTTTTGTATTTATTGAGTAAGTGCGCCATTCAATAACATTTTTGCTAACCTGTAATTCAACCAATTTTAATTTTTCGAGATGCAAAAAAAGCTTTTTGATCCTTTACAAAGTTTTAAGTATCACACAAACTTTTAGTAACATACTTTTAAAAAGTATAAAAAAAGCGTAATTTTTTATTAATTATAGAGGAAAAAAAATCGTGAATTTCGATATCGTAATTGTCAAGTAGTGTAAATAAATGATTAAAATACTTATAAGAAAGCAGTTTTTCCCACACACATACTCGAGTTAAACAAAAAACAGATTTATGAAGGTGGCTTTGCAAATAGAGTAAAATAAACTGAAATCAAATAAATTTTCACGTTTCAAGGTATGGAAATGGAAATCTACGCAATCGACGAGGGCCGAGTGGTGCCGTACCTCCTGGATCCCGATTTTGAGAGCAAGTTGCCGGTCATCCCCAACGAAATGTCCTACGTGAACTTCACGTGGAAGTCGGGCGTCAAAAAGTATTACTACGATTTCTTCCTACTCAAGTCCTTTGACGAGTCCATCCTCAAAACACCCTCCATCACGATAAAGAAGCAGGGCCGCGTGCCCAAGCGCCAAAAGGGTAAGCTATAATAATTATCCTCGCACCACCAATTGTAAGATATCAATATTTTATAATAATCGATGCTTTGAATTGAGAATATACAATAGCCACGAAAATCGGTAAATATTTATGAATGAAGCAATGAGCTTTCCCCCGTTTCGTTCAACTAGTTCCAGCAAGTCGTTTATTTCGGTAATGCAAACAAACCGCGCGACGTGAGGTAAGTACACACATTTCCGCGTAAACACCGGGCTGGAAAGGCTTCGAGGAAACACTACTGCGCTCGAGATAAGAATAGAAATTGCGCGATCAATACCGATTCATTGAAGCTCAAAAATGTGCGTTGCCAAAGCATAGTGAGAAGAAACATGATTGTCGGTTTGATTTTGCAGAATTCAGCATACTGTTGCCGTGCTCTGGAAACATATCGGGAATAGCGCAGTTCGGGATCGGTCTGCTGATCGAGAGCCGCAAGAACAAGCCACTGAACGGGACGCCCTTGCGGCTCAGCCTGAGAAAAGAATGCGCCATGCGCGGTGAGTGCGTCAGTCGCGCCCACGACCACCAACTACTCTCCTGCACTCACACATACAGTTCCGTATCGCCAGTACATACTTTCTTATAAGAAAAAGAATAAAAAAAAAAAAAGAATACATTCGTCTCTCTCTCTCTCTTCTCTTTTTTATGATTGTGTTGTTCCGATGCTTCGTGCATGCGTGATTGCTTTTCGATTGGCTTTCTTCCTCACTTTTCTCTCTTTCTTATTTACTCGATTGCGTACGTACATGTTGCGAAAATTCGGTGATTTGCCGATTCAATGTTGTACGTAACGCATTGCTTTTGCCAAATTATCGAGTTTACGCTGATAATTTGATCTGATGAATTGAGAAATGTCATCCGATGCGCTAACTACACCGAGTAAAGTAAACCGTCGCAACGTGATTCTATAAATTGACATTTACTTTTTATTCGGTGTAATGTAGAGCATTTGCCGGTGTGATTTTTCACTAATTTTTATGTTACTTTTTGCAGAACCTAATCCGGGACCGTGCCCCGATGGGTACTTGGGTCCGCCGCATTGCAAAAAAGCACTGTGCTATCCAAAATGCTTGAACGAAGGAAACTGCACTGCCCCCGGTGTTTGCTCGTGCCCTCCAGGATTTCAGGGGCCCTATTGCGAAGGAGGTACGTTCAACTTTCAATAAAAATCAATCCTCTGCGCAAATTCTCACTCTTTTTTTTTTTTGTTTTGTTTATTTACATAAAATCAACAATACCTTACTGTATAGATATACCATTTATCGAAAAAACAAAAACGTAGAAAAGTATGACTAAAGTACTTTGTCGTGATGGTGTAAAATTTTACGCAATTATTAACAAATTAGCATAGAACGAAACACTGATTGTGTGGGATTGGATAAAATTTTTTCCAAGAACAACAAAGTCTACTGTTGTTAAAAACTAATACTCAACGTGCGTTTAAATAACTTTAGATACCGCAATAGCAGCTTTGCAACCAACCTTTATGACGTTTGTAAGAGCATTGTAGAAGGGAGCTTGCTCAGCTCCGTGTTCCAATCCTGTGTCGTGATGTTCCTGTTCTTCGTCACGAAATTTTTTTATCGTTTCGAGAATTTCTTTGTCATTTTCATCGCTTATTTCTACCAGTGACCTCAGTTGGTCGTTGTAATGTTCGACTATAACATCTTCAACAGCTACGGTACAAGCCATTGCTGCCTTTTGTCCTAATAACGCAGTGCCAGCACCTAGTACAAAGCCGGCTATGTTCCAAATTGGAAGTAGTGCCGTCGGTCTAACTCCGTGCTTTTTTATTAACTGTTCAAATTTTTCTCTGTGAACTTTTTCTTGGTCCCACATATGCTGAATAGTTGGGCCAGATGACGTTTTTCCTAAAATACGTTTATAACATGTTCAAGCTAAACGAATATTTGATTTTCAAAGTAAATTGACTACCTAAAACAGCCATTTGCCCAGCGTATATTCTATCTGCTCCATATTCCCCAGCATGATCTACTCTGATCACGGAATCCAACAATCTCCCTTTTTTAGTTCTTAAAGGAGCTGCTGAATTTGTAGAAATAAATCTGATACTTCCACAACTAATTTTAAACATTTTTACAGTTACAGCAAGATTCTCTGAAACAAAAAATAATAATACATGATGGATTTTCAGGTATATGCACTGAGAAGTGTTTGAATGGAGGAAAATGTGTGCAGAAAGACACATGCGAATGTCCAAAAGGATTCTTTGGGTTGAGATGTGAATTTTGTAAGTGAGATACTATAAACATATCCGTCATATAGGGAAAAAAAAAATTCAATCGATGGAATATTTTACAGCTAAATGTGTGATCCCTTGTTTGAATGGAGGAAAGTGTAAGGGGAATAATATATGCAGATGTCCAACTGGCTTCAAAGGGGATCATTGTGAAATTGGGAGACGCTCACCACAACGTTCAGCGTGTACAAAACCTTGCAGAAACGGCACATGCCAGCCAGACAACACATGCCTTTGTGAACCGGGATGGTTTGGAAGATTGTGCAATAAAAACAAACCATGGGCTTGAGAGACTTAATTGTATTCTGTTGCGGTATCAAAGTATATGATTCAGTGATTATCTCTTGATGTAAAAAAAAGCTGCATTTAGCAGTTTCAGTCATGAAATTATGTTCAGTATTATTTTGAAACTCGAAAAAAAAAAAAAAATTATCTGTTAGTGTTTGGTTATAGCTTGTTACTGCAACAAAGAAAAGTTGTAAGAGTGGTTGAATTGTGGATTGTACCCCACCAGAGATGTGATATGTAAAGCTGTTTTACACATTTTTATTATTATTACTATTAAATATATTACTATTATTCTTTAATTTTGTTGGATCAACCGTAGTGTTTGATTATATACAATCTAAATATTTTTTCATGTATGTACTATTGACATAAAAAAAAACGACTGTAAATAGTTCGTGCAACAAATTGTTTATAAATTTTGAAATAGGGATGTGTCACAATGATAAAATGGATCTCACATGATAAAATTACAGAATTTTTAGTTGAATAAAATACATATGTATACTGGCTGTCTGTTGTTATTGCCCAAGATTGCGATATCAGAATACTTTGTAACAATTGCCGATTGTTTCCTACAAAAATAGATCAATCAACTTTTGTTCATCACGGTGATTTAGAATTGTTGTGTTTTACAGAATCAATCGTTTTTAAAGTGTCAAAATCGTTAAAAACTGACTACAACATTCAAAGAGGTTAGGTTTAGCTATTTTTATTGTTTTGATAATCGTGTAATAGGTGAAACTGGATGAATAAATCGAAAGCTCAGGTAGTGTATACTATTTTTGCAACATTTAAAATATCTAACAAACCTTTAAAACATTGAATCTTTCGGGATGTTGTTTACCCTAACGCCCAACACAACAGACTAAATCACTCAATTCGAAATCAAAACAAAGAATCTAACCAAACCTGCGATAGGTTCACTAAGACCCGCCAAAATTTCAAATTATTTCCATATTAACATTTTACTTACATTTATATGTTACAAAGAAGGGGATTCAATCCTAAAATAGAAATTTATTTTATCAAAACAATACTCTTTAAATTATTTTACTTTTATTTAAATGAAAACCATGAATGTAAATACAAAGGCACTAAATGTAGGTTTACACCCTATTATCACGTAAAGTTACGAGTAAATAATTATTTTAATGGTAATCTCAAAAATTTGTAGTCTGAAACACATCGTGTTCCATCGTAAAACTTTTTAGTTTGTGATGTAATTCGTATTTTGCGGTGTTTACACTAAAAAACTTATTGGTAAGACAGATTCCTGTTTAAAAGTAATACAACAGCTGTTTATAATACAGCTCAAACATAAAAACAGAAATTAGTCTTGTTTTTTAAGTTGTCATTGATATAATGAATATTTGCTCAGAACTTTTCCGGATAGTATAGGTTTTAATTCTTTACCGAGTGCTCTCTCTGTTTTGCATTTGCGTTTTGCAATATTATTCGAATTACTTTAAAACAACCCTAAACGTTAATTGATAAGGTAAATTTCTATAACCGTGTAAATACACGTAAAAATATACCAACTGATTGATTCTCGGATAAAAAAGTAAAATCTTGCAATTTAAAACAAAGAATGATCTTTTTTAAACGCTTATCTAAGAACTTGATTTTTAATTCACACCCATACTACATGTGAAATTTTTTGTTATTCAGAGACATTCAAAAGTTACCTGTCGTAGCCTTAGAATTTTCTACATGAAACGAGACAAGTATGGCCAAGTCAAAAATAATAGTAAAGTACCCATTAAAATTGAAACGAAAGTTCGCGGGCTTCCCCCGAAACCGAGTTATTGGACGACCGATGGTCCAGTAGGTGGCTGTGAAATACCGTTGACCAATGGTTTACGGCAAATCCAGGGGTAAATCGGTTCAACAACTTGCGTCCACTTGCATCAATTCGAGTCTGTCTCTTTCTTTTCTCTCCGAAAAATATTATGTGTGACTCAAAACATGTTGTAAGTATTCTATATGTGCGTGAAGTGTACAATCATTCATTATACTATACACTTCATATCCTGAAAACGGCCGACTGCTCGTAATAGTCGGCAATAAAGTATACGTTTAGAACATCGGTGTAGGTATATACCCCTACGTGATATATGTATACATGAAGGTTGCACCATTGAATCGACATTAGGAAGGCAAGTTGCCGTGCAGCCCGGCGAAGAGGAGCGAGAACGACGAGGAAAGAAAGAAGCGAGGCCATTAGCTCGTCAGAAAGCAGTCTACCGTATAGGTGCGAGAGGAGCAACGAGCAGGGCAGTCATCGGTGCATCGTCCACGCGAAAAAGACGAGAGACAGCGTTATCGTCGAGTTGAGCTGGAGCTGAGCATAGAGACGGTGAGTACACGTAGCAAGGTAGCCCAGTACACTAGCGCGGGGTCGCGCGAACCTCCCCGCGAGTACCGTGTGTGTTGTCAACTACTGTGCTGTCTCCCGAGTGTTGCGCGCGCGCGTGCCCAGAGAAAGCTGCGCACGAGGATCGTTGCGTGCGTGCGAGGTGTGTTGTTCACGTTCACCCGCACCGCGTATCCACCTGCGTATGTGCAACGGCGTGCATTACCCACGCAATATGTATATACTTACCCGTGTTTATGTATTACGTATGCGCGATCTGTGTGGTACTCGGCATCGTCTGCTGGGCCTGAACGCGATCGCGCAGGCTTCAAGATGGCCGTGTCGTGTGCCGCGCGCAGCCTGCGCCTGCCCCGTGGGTCTCTCGATGGGCCCGCCACCGCGACCGAGCGCATTCGAAATCGCGGCATCCCCTGTCAATTCCGAACCAACGATTCCCTGAGCCGATCGTCGCCTGGGAGCTCGTACCCTGGGTTACGTGGCTGGTCCTGTTGTCCCGAATGGCGTTGGCTAACATGGCGGGCGACAGCAGTCGTCGAGGAAGGCCAAAACCAAACGAAAGAGAGAGCAAGAAGAGCCCGCGCGCGGCCTCCAAGTGGGCGCTCTGCTGCGTAACTTTTTGAACCGCACCACGTGCCACGATGTTGTCATTATGCACGTACATCTGAACCCTATATATTATGCGCGTCGTACATAACGTTTGCGCTCATGTGCAAATTATACGTGATCTACACGTCTGCAGTTACGAAAGCATCATCAGCAGAGCGCTGCACCTGGGGGACTGACCCATCGCTCTGCGTGTGTGCCCATTGTATATGCATGTACATAATAAGTATTTTTGCGTGCTAGCATATAAATAATACACTCTGCTATAGCTTTACAAGCTCTTAATAATAAGTTGTTGGTGTTTTTTTTTTTTTTTTTTTTTCAATCAACGATATCACGTTTCAAATGAACTTGATCGCGTGAATGAAATCTAACTAATTATATCTTAATTGTCCTCACTTTTTAGAAAATATTCGTAAGCGCGCTATTATGATAACAATATCGAGCCTCGTACCCAGTAGGTGACTAACTTTTCCAAGAACAATAAAAACTGATTTGTAATGCTCTAATGATCGTTGTCAAAGTTTTATCGTATCGGGTTGTCGTTAAGTCACCGGTAACGCTTTTAACCCGCGGCCTTTTGTGATCCATATATTTTGGAGTAGAACAAAAACTAACGCGTTGAACGAAATATCAAAATAATTTTTGATTTTTGACATTTTCTTTCCCTATGATACTGTCAACATGTCGTTGACTCGTACCCGAAGCAGCATGTAAGCAGGTGTAGTTATGATAAACCTAATTAATCAGACTCCCCGCAAAGTAATTCTCAGGTCCTGGACAAACCATGTAGACTTGAAATATACACATATAGCTTCGATCAGACAAAATCGGGTACATACAGTAGCTCCCCACGTATGTATATATTTCTCCCCCTTCGTTTCTGTCGATTCCGACTAATCAATAAATTCGAAAGCTATACAGCCACGTACATCCGTGGTTCCAACATAAGAGTAAGTATAACGGAGCGCATCACTCCCGTTGAAATAATAATAAAAGCTCTGGAGAACCCGGCGTGGAGGTCGAGTCGAGCCGCTCCACAACGGGGGCAGGGTAGGTACATAATGCCCGAGAAGAGGTGTCTGATAGGGCTGCAGCGTCAGAGAGGGATGGTGGTTAAAATGTATGTGTGTGTGGGAACATCGCGGCGTTAGTCAGCCCCTCTTGGTCGGGTGGCGGAGAGCTCTCGCGCGATCGATAACACACGAGTCTCCGTGGCTCCCGGTTGGGCACCCCGACACACACACACACACACACACAGTATAGTTATCTCCAATGCTATTCGCGGTAGAGAAAACGAGAGAGAGATATTCGATCGACGGAGAACCGCTGTTGCTGCTGGTTGCTGGCTTCTGCTCCGCTCCTAGTGGTGCACGCGCGTGTACGTGTATATATATATATACACGCGACACGTTATTCCGTGAACGCGCGTTCGCTGCTCCCTGCGACGGCAGTGAGCCCCCAGTGAGCCACAGGGAGCAAGTGTCTCTAGCTCCTCGGCTGCCGTTTGTTGCTGCTGCGCGGGTGTTGATAGCAGCAACAATCCGGCGCGACGATGGCTTGCGGCATCCCGAGCGTCATCGTCGCCGAGGAGCCAGCAGTAGCACCAGCCAAGAGGCCACGGATGCGGCCCCGGTTATTCGGCACGTCAGCCGCAACAGTGGCCGCCGTTGTCGTCGACCAGGTTAGTGCGACTTTTTTTTTCCCCCCCCCCCCCCCGGTCGGTACTTGGTTTTCTCAAGAGTGTACTAGACGGTGTCCGAGTCAAATTTTCGCGGCGACGGCCCCCCGCCAGCCCATATCAGCGCGCACTGCACGAGGCTGGTCGTGTGTTGCGCGCGCTAGCTGGCCGGCTCTCCGCTTAGGATATGCACACAAAAGTATATTACGTAGGTATAGCCTGCCGCCGCGAAGAAGACGCGCCTGTGCACAAGAGAGCCAAACGTGCCTATGGCTCTGCTGATATATTTTGTCGAGTGAGTGTGTTTTCGCGGTCGCGACGCAGCCGCGCGAGCACTACGCGGGCCAGAGCGCCGCTGATACGCGCCGATGGGGCGTGGTGTGTCATGATGCTCCGCTGATGCTGGGGCATGCGTCTATCTCCTCGTGTACGGTTGTTCCTCGTGGTGCGCGAACCGACGACGATGACACGAGCGCGTGTGCTCCCCCAGGACGCCCCCTATACTCCTCCAACTGCGTACGCATTCCGTTTATCCACAAGTATACAATCGGTGTTGTGATGCGCCCCCGTCGTCTTGTTATCACCACCACGTGATGAAACCCACCGTTGCGTTGTTGCTCCACCCCCTGTGACTGCAAAGCTCTGGCACTTTTAATCACATGCGCGCATTCGCCACGACATAATTGACGCGCGTGTCCAACGTGCCCCTTATTTTCCCCGTGCTTCCTGCTCTCTTGTGTGTATAAATAGCACGAATCGTACGGTGGCTGTTTCGTGGATTTCGCGTAAGCCGTCGTCCGCCACCCTTGTCGGAGAAAGAGGGGAACGAGGCCAACGTTTGGTCCGACGGTTGCGCAACCTTGCCCGCTATATCTATATGTATCATAGGGTAGTATGCACACACAACATTGTGCATATAAATATACAATGATCGTTGCTCCGTGAAACAACTCCCTTGGAAACCCTATTTTTCTATACTTCGTGGTGTGTATGCATATGGGCAGTCTGAACATCTTTGGGTAAAAACCGCTACGTCGCTGTAGATACAGCTTCATCCCCTCAAAGCCGGGGGTATTGATTTTCAAAGATGATACAACCACACGGATCCGTGGGAGCTCTGGCGATAACGTGTACTTTGCCCTCGACTTATACATTTATTACCAACACCCTGATCGTTGGAAAATTAGGCGAAAAACCCCTGCGTACAAAATCGGACGATGAAAAAAAAAAGAAAGAAAGAAAAAAACGAAAGTGGGATCGAATACATTACCCCCTTTCTTATCTCGAGGAGCTGTCAGGAGGGGTGCGCTTGACGTGCGTCAACGTATATATACGCTGTGTTTTCATCCGTCCCTCCGATTTCCCTCATCCCCTTCGTCTTTTCGTTTCTTTGCTTTCTCCTCTGTGCTGTTCGCTTATACGTATTATACACGCTCAATTACTTCGATAGACGCGTCTTTATCTTTCTCCAATGGTCATCCGAAATTTCCGTTGCGAACAGAATATTAATAATGTCCCGGAGGATTGCCCAAACGTTTCATTGGTCATCATTTTCATAGATCGATTGTTTTATTTTACTTTTATTTTTCGTTTAGTAGCGAGTTATGAAAAAAAAAAAAAAAAAAAAAAAGAGAGAAAGGCATGCAGGGTGATAAGCCATCCCCGTATACACATAGGTATTACCTGTGTAGGGTGTTGAGACGTATATACGCGCGTGAGCGTTAGATATGCGACGAGACAGCTGAGCGTGTAAACTTATGATGGAAAAATAAAAATGAGGGGCATGTATATTACGCAGTAGAAGTAAACTGCTAATGGGGGGGGGAGTCTCTAGTATACACGTATTATATATAGAGAGAAGCGTTGTACACAGGGTTTAGGGGGATAGAGGAGCCACTGCCGGCGTATACGTTAAGGGGGTGCAACCGACGACGGGGCTGTTGTTCAAATTGCCGCGTGTGCGTCTTTCTCGGGTATTATTCATGCATGTGTACGGCATGCACACCCCGTGCGGAAGTGCGTGCCCTTTAAAAAGCGAATGACGCGAGCTAAGGGTCCCCCTCCTCCCTCTACTCGCTCGAGTTCCAACTGCACGGACAAATGTACAAAAATCAATAACTTTGTGTTATATACACACACCTATATATGCACGAGTTTTGTGTGCGATCGTTCCAATGCTATGCCGATCCCCGATCTTTTGGGGTGAAGTTGAAGTTTAGGTATACACCCCATGCATACTTGTGCATTGGGAAATATTTTAGGTATACTTGTTTCGTGTAGGATCATCGCAGTGCTTGTACAGGATTATTAAACTGTTTTGTAATTCTACGTCTTTACCGATATTTCGATTATTAACTTTGTTTCAAATAATACGTTTTTTTAACATATAATAATGCCTACGTACAACTGGCGCGTTCATCGAAGGAGCGAAAAATCCTAAATTTTATTAATTTTCACAATCAATATATGCATATTAAATAAAGTGGGATGAAAAAAATATATTTAATGACAAAAAATTACGAGGTTCTACGGTATTGTAACAAAGTTAGGTGAATCTTACTCTATAGTTGAAACGGAAACTTACATAATGTTTGTATTATGTATTAGATCGGGTTTGAAATTTATTTCACATTAAAAACAGACGTTCCCCATTTTTTTTCTTTGGTAAATAAACAAAGCTCGCTTGTGGAACAGTCGTCGTGCCTATAGAAAGACGAACGACAAAACGAAAAATCGGTAAAAATCGGTAAATACGAAAAAGTTCAAACAAGAGAGTTCGATCGGTGTGCACCATAAGACACCAATTTCTGTAATTGTACATAATTATGTTTAAGGGTAAATAATGTTTTATTCTGTCCCAGTAGCAGAGCAGTAGCACCATCGGCACCAGTTCAAGGTAATGTGAAGGACAAGAACAACAAAAAGAGAATCAAGAAGAAATCACGCAGAGTAGCCAAAAATTCAGTTTTATGACAAAAAGCACACAAAAAAGAAAGAGAGGATAGAGGCAAAGAAGCTCGGAGTGATACTCGTGATCCATCTTCCCCTTTGGCATCGTAGTCGTCGCAACAAGTGAAGCACAGCAGTAAAACTGTCTTCGGCGGTTGAAGAGGGCGGCGAGCTTCTCGCCGTCAAGGAAGAAGAGGACAACCACCAGCCGTGCTCTGAGCAAGAGCAGGTGGTGCCGAGCGCGTCGGCCCTCATCTACGAGGACACGATGAACTCGTTGACGAACGCCGAGTCCGACAGGACGGACGGCAGGATGAGCGACGAGGACGACGACGATCCGTCCAGTGAGTCCGAGGCCTTCGAGGACGGCGACATACTCACCTCGGCCATGGAAGACGACGTCACGGCCCAGCTCGCCGCTGCAGGTTGGCAAATCAAACACGCTAATGGTGATTTCCATTTTTTTGCTTTTTCGACTCCCATAACTACCGCCGTCCGTCTCCCTCCCGCGCCTTCTGCTGCCGCTGCTGATGCCTGTGATTAATACTGATGCTGCTGTGCCGCCGCATCGCCGTGGGACTTGCCGGTTGTGATCCCACAACCTCCCCCCTGCCCTTCTCATTTTGATTTCGGTCCTCATTTTTTTTTTTTTTTTTTTTTTTTCGGATCTCTTTTCGCGCGATTTTTGCCAATGCTCGCGAGTTTCTCTCTTTTTTTTATGCTACAATATGCCTCAACACATGCAGGTTCTTTGTCGCGCCTGAAGCTAATATATACATAGTGAGAACCTGTTGATGATTTCAAAGCATAATCATTAATGACGATTGGTAAAAATAATGCTGATATTTCATTATTCGAATATTTTTCGCGTCGTCGTGGTTTTCATTCCTGTACTATTTGAAATAAGCTGCAGCTTGGACTCGATACTTCGTACTCCTGGTGAAATCATACATTTTTTTTTACTAATAATCGTATTCCTTTCTTTTCAACATGAAAATTTTGTATATTTCGTATTATTCTCGCATCGTCCTCTTTTATTTCACTTTGCTATTGTTTGCTTTTTTTTTTCTTCCTATGTTTTATCGTCAATTAATAATGCAACGTCAAGCAGGACACGTTTCGAAAGTATGTACTTTTCGTGAAAAAAAAAAAAAAATTCCGGCTTGTTTTGTTATTGCTCTTTAATTTAAACCTTAATCATCGTGTGAAATGTGTAAATATAACGAGTCCTGCTTGATAACTAATGTCGTAAATTAATTTAAACGTTCTTATTTATTTTTGTTTTCTCCAAGACACCTGTAATCACTTTTTTTTTTGTCTCGCAGTTTGAAAATTTTTTTTCAACTTTTATTTTGATTATAAAAAATTTACACATTCAAGATTAGTGTTACATACGAATCAGAAAAGAGTTGAGAAATAATTTTTAAAAATTGTTGTGTTTTTTACGTCCTGCATGCGATTCAATCATCAATCATTCATCATTGATAAACGCTTGCTAAGATTTGATGAAATAATTGTTATGATGCAATACGCACTCGTTTGTTGTTTGTAAACATCATTGTAAAGTGAGAGCAAAACAAAACGAAAGAAAGAAAAAGGAAGTCACTTGGCGCTCTTGCTCTTGTATCGCAAGATGCGTGATTTGAAATGTGTACTCTAGTTTGCATGCATCATCGCAGGAGTTGATCTCCTGTTTTTTCATCTCCAAAAATGTTTAATGCATAGGACCTGTTGGCGTCGCAGCAGCCGCAGCCATAGCCTCGGCTAAAAAACGTAAACGACCGCACAGTTTTGAGACAAATCCTAGTATTCGTAAGAGACAACAAAATAGGCTGTTAAGGAAATTAAGGGTGAGTTTCAGTTTAACGTATCTGCACAAACTGAGGTCTTGAGGGTAGAATTTTCATTAATTTTTTTTTGTCTGTAGCAAACGATAGATGAATTTGCAACGCGTGTGGGCCAGCAAGCTGTTGTGTTGGTGGCAACACCGGGCAAACCAAATAGTTGTTACAAAGTGTTTGGCGCTAAGCCGCTCGAGGATGTGGTAAAGAATCTGAAATCCGCGATAATGGAAGAACTGGAGAACGCTCTGGCACAACAGGCACCTCCACCGCCCCAAGACGACCCATCGCTCTACGAGTTACCGCCACTCATCATCGATGGCATTCCAACGCCCGTCGAAAAAATGACTCAAGCCCAGCTGCGGGCTTTCATACCTCTCATGCTAAAGTACTCGACCGGAAGGGGTAAACCAGGCTGGGGCAGGGAAAGCACGAGGCCACCGTGGTGGCCCAAAGAATTGCCATGGGCTAATGTTCGCATGGATGCCAGGTCCGAAGATGAAAAGCAAAAGGTGCATCATGCGCTATCCTTTTTTTTAAATCTTCAAATTGTTGTGGCACTGATTAGTTTGTGTATAGAACACCGTATTTGTAGTGGCGTAGTACTTAATTTTTACTTGTTGTGTGAGGAACGTAGATAATTTGTGTCGAAATGTTGTACAACGGTGCTAACTAATCTCGTTTTCGTAAAATTTTTGAAATCAAGCAGATTTCGTGGACGCACGCACTGCGGCAGATCGTTATAAACTGTTACAAATTCCACGGACGGGAGGACTTGTTGCCAGCCTTCAGCGAAGAAGACGACAAGTCTAACATACTGATACAGCAGCCGTCATCGGTACAGTCGCAACAATCGATCACAAGCCAAGGCAGCCAGTCCCAACAGACGGTGGGGGTCGTTCGCATCAGCAGTACTGGTTCATCTAAGGGAAACTCATCGCCGACGCAAATCGTTGCCGCGTCACCCACGGCTCTTACCACTGCCACTCAAGTGACAGTGGAAGGAGCTGAACGAGGCGCATGGGCAAGTCGATCGCCACCCAAAGATCTATTTTTTTTTTTTTTTTTTTTTTTTTTTCATTTTATTAGTTGTCCCGTGACTTGATGTTGTATTACATGTCAATGATAACTTGCTCGTTTGTGTGAATTTTAGTTTTTAATTTTTTAATTTTGCTTTTGACAAATTTATGTTATTGATGTTTTTTAAACTATTTCTTTCTTTGCAGAATTTACACGACTCCTTACGTGAACATGTTTACTCATCAAAACCATTTATGCTTCTGCATTGCTACATTATGTTTATATATACATATATGTATATATATTTTTTTAAACTTTTCTTATTTTTCAGACCTGCGCGACATTTGTTTCCCTTATTTGAATTTTGTTGTACTTTTTAGTTTTACATGCTGCTTATTTTTTTGCTAACTGTATATTTAATTTACATGTGCTTACTCATAAATAATCAATATTTGATGTGCACTAAAAACAATTATAAATATATTTTAATCACGACATTTTTTATGCAGATATCGCAATATCCTGTCTTGCAAACGATAACCAATCCGGATGGATCGGTTGCTTTAGTTCATGTGGATGCCGGTAATCCAATTATCACTTTACCTGATGGTACTACAGCTCAAGTACAAGGAGTTGCTACTGTAAGTTTATATTTATAAAATTCTCTCACGGTGAAAACAATATGTTTCTCAAATCAAAAACATATAATTTTTGGAGAATTTTCAGATCCATACAAGTCAAGGGGATATACAAACCCTTGCTGAAGTGAGCAGCTCCGACGGCACAAGTGTAGCGGTGGATTTAAATAACGTTACCGAAGCAACACTAGGACAGGATGGTCAGATTATCCTCACCGGCGAAGATGGACATGGTAAAACTGTTTTCTATAGGCTTTGCACCGTCGCCGGTCAGGAACTTCTTGAGCAATGAACTCAAGCTTATCTTAGATTCTGTGGACACTTGTTTATTTTGCATGTTGTATGCGTTATTTGTTTCTAAGTGAAAAAGCTCACTTGTTGTTTCATAATTTTAAGATGAATTTATTTTTAAGTAGAGTTACAATTCCAAAAACCTCTACGTTCCTAATTTAAAAAGTGTACATATTGAAAATAGTTTAAAAAGAAAAAGTATGTTTTGAAACGACAAGAGACAATAAGTACGTAGTTTAGCACATCATTTTTCGTTTTTGTATCTCACCTTAAGAATCCATGGAAAGTCACTGACGCAATCTTGACGTGTGGTTATCATTTTTATAGGCCTTATTGTAACCTACTTTCGTTTTTAAGTGTAAACTTAATTTCGCTGCTGAAAACCAAGCATTTATTTATGTGTATATGTATGTACATACTATTTAGTTAGTAACTTTATTGTTATGAATGTTAAAAAATGATGTGCGCATAGTACAAATAACTATTCAGTTAGTCAATAGATGAAACTCGTATAATTTCATTTTGCTGAAAACCAAATTTCAAGTGTCAAGAATTCAGAAGTATCAGTCAGAACATGGATTCTTAAAAAGTATTTCAGATACAGATCAAATGAAGATTACAGTCATGATAATAACGCAGAAAACACTCTTTCGTTTTATGATTTATTACCATAATTATTTCGTTTTATTCGAACATAAAGAAATAAATTCTCTGTAAATAGTAATTTTTATGTTGTTTAAAATTTATTACCGCGTTTTTTTTTTTTTTTTATTTCAAAGTATTTAGTAGTTGTGAGATAAAATCAGTTGACTTTTGTTTTTAAGTTTATAGTTGAACAAACTCATTTCTTATGTCTGTGTGTTATGCTTTATTTTCTTTAGATGTCAAAACAGGTGTGCGAAAAAACCACTCCTATTGAATAAAATGATTTAAATTTTCCTTAAAATAAGTAGGTATATTATTTTCCAGTTGCACCCTTGTAATATTTCAAATTATTATTTTAAATAGAATTATAGTATTTGTTGGCTAGTTTAGATAAATTAAATGTAATAATCTCCAATTCGAGCTTGAAATGTCAATGTTAATAGATAGTTAATGTTGCATGAATATTGTTTCCATATAATTTTTATTTTGTTATAAAAGATAAAAGAACTTTGATTATTTAGTAATTTAATTATGAGACGATAGATTTTTTTTGTCGATGTCCTGGTGTTAATTGATTGTACTATGAGAGTACCTTGAGCATTTACCTTTGAATTTTACTTGTTACCTAATTAATACATAATAATTCAAATAACTTAAACTTTAAACTAGTGCTGTTTTAACTAATGTCAACCGAATCTTAGTAAACAACAATTTTCACCTGGAACATAAGTAGCGTAGCTCTCGATATTAGTAGTTCACGTGTTGTATACAAGTATCTTCTGTAATGCCTGCTACTTAAGAATTCCGTACAATAGAAGAAAGTAAGACGCTGTGTAAAGAGCACCCGGTAGGCTATATGAAACAGCTGTATCCATCAATCTGTTGGAGCACAGAGCAAAGAAAAAGACAACATAGAGAGGGACGACGACCGTCGATTTGGCATGTTGCAGGCTACCCGGTGTCGGTGTCGGGGGTAATAACTGTACCCGTGCCGGCGAGTATGTACCAGACCATGGTAGCAAACATCCAGAGCGACGGAACGATGCAGGTGATGACACCGATGGTGCAGGTACCAAAGGTCGAGCCGGGAAACGGCGAGACCAGCATCGAGACCATGACGATCCAGGGCCATCCAACCATGACGATGATCAACGCCGCTGGAGAGCAGCAAGTGCTCCAGGTCATATCGCTTAAAGACGCGAATGTCCTTACGAAGGTCATGCAGGCCGAAATTGTCAAGGACGAGGATAGCCAGTCGGCTCACCAGGGTCAGCAACAACATACCGCCGAATCCAGTCCCGAGTAATCCTTGACGGCTCATCGAGACCTTTTTCCTTTCCATGCGTTCAAGTGCACGAGGAACTTTAATATCTGTGTACTTTAGTTTAATGTAGTTGGTTTCATGGTGAGATTAGTGACCAACAAAAATTAATGAGTGGACGCTCGCGCCACCTACTCTCATATACTGTTACGTGCGGTGCATTTAGTCATTAATTAAGAAGATGTAAAGGAAAAATTTGTTGAAATCTATTTCACTAATTTTTTACGGAATACATTATAATCGTTCAATGAGGATGCAATTTATTGATGCATCGAAGTATTTCATGACTTTATTTCATTGATTTTTCAGTCTCGAAAATATTTATTACATTTATTGAATCATTGATTGTTGGTCATTGTATTAGAAATTTTATCAAGTCAAGATCTATGAAAATAATGCACACATTAGTGAATTAAAAAAATTGATTTAACATTTTTGAGAAATATGGTCATTTTAAATTTGTAGAAAATTATGTTGAATGTGCTCCAAGTCACGCGTATATATATGCAATAGCTGACTCAAATATAGCACTTTCCAAAGATAAATTAATTTCAGTACATAAAAATGATAAAATGCAATGCAAATACTTTGCAGCGCAGTTGCGATGAAGATTTCAATAAAAAGTGACGTGAATGATCCGGTTTTTCAGATACATTTTTTTCTCAGTTTTACATTTTAATGATTGTTTGTGGTACTAATAAATAATAGGTTCAAGTAATATTAGATAATCTAGTCAAAGGAATAACCATATAAATACTAGTTAGGTCTGATTTTGATATCTCTATAATCTATTTGTATTTCACGACAAAAAAATGAAATTTTTTTAAAAACATTTGACCCAAGCAAAATTGGTCTAATATCATGTTAACTTAAAATTCTGGTTTTTGCAACCTGAAAGTGTAGTAATGAGTAACAAAAAAAGCTACGAATCTTTATCCACATAACAAATACAACATATTATTGTAGATTGTGGAGGAAATGTAAAATTCCAATTCTTCATATTATATATAGATACCTCTAATTTAACTGTTCATAAATTAGTTGATAAAAAAAATTGACAAGTATACCTACAGAACAACTCATCTCTTTACAATGAGGAAAAATTTGAAAATTTTTCCACAAGGTACAAATAGAATCTAAGCATTTAAAACCTTTAACAACTCCAATTTTAGTACACAGTATTTGTTTAGCGCGAACTATGATTTACAAGATGCTAGAATAAATAATTTGTTTAGCATTTTTATTTACATGAAAAGTTGAAGTAAATTTAATCAAGTATGTGTTCAAATGTCTAAAATATATCAGCTTCTTATATATAATATCAATAAGTTTAAATTTAATAACATTTGATTTTTTGTAAAGATGTTTGTATAGGAAACAATATCCCACATATCTTCCAAAAAATCACCTGTTTTTACGAAATAATATGGTTTGTGCAATCCTGAGATTGTTTGATGAGGTATAAATTATTAGCATGATCGTGTACGTGTTAATTATATTTCTCAACTTTATTTCATGGTTTATAGTTGTTTTTTATTAATAATTTTTTTTTACTGTAAAATAATCAGTCTACTAAATTAGTATATACTCAACTAAGAAAAATATACTTGACATTTTCAAATAAAAAAACGTTTGGTTTGGTAAAGAAAAAAATTTATTAAAATCATGTTTATTTGAACAAGTATGTTTGAGGTCGCGCTAGAAATGTGTGTGTACGTACTTATCACTGTGAAGTTGTGAACAGTGTGAATTATGTAATTTGTAAATATGTCTATGTGTCGCCATCAAGCTTTGGTTATTTTTGGTGTAAGAAATAAAAGTTTGTTTTTGTTCCACTCAAGTTCACGGTGAGAAAAAAAAATGAAAACATTAGGTGGACTAAAGCAAAAAAAATTTAAATATAATACATGTATATACACAATCTATTTATACTCCAATCCCATTCAAATTTGTTTTCCTTATTAATTAAAGAAAGCATAATAAGCAAGTAATTAAACAAAATTTTTATTAAATTACTGTTATTGTTATAGAGTAACAGAAGTGAACAAATGTACATTTAAAGATATGATAATTTTTTTGTTCTATACTTAATACAAGGCTGTGTATATGAAGTTTCTTTTCCTTTTGATTATACTTTTTGTTTAAACTAATCATATAAACTGACCTTTAATTTCATTCAATTAGATATTTTCGGGATCATCTAACCACAATTCGGGCTTATCATAGCCAAGCTCATCTGGCGTACTAATACCAAGTTCATCCAAAGTTGGTCTGATTTCTTGCAAGATGTAGGGATAAATTTTGTCAACTTCGTCGCCGCACTTATCCTTGATAGTTTCTAAAAATCTAGTTGTCAGAGCATAATCGTTTAGCCTCCTGCAGGCCCTGAGTGCAGCACAAATGATCCTTGGTTCAGGAACAAGATCCATACCTACAATTACGAATGATTAGTTTTCAATTAGTAAGCACTACGTCACTCAAATAAAATTATTCAGCACGAAATGAACACTTGTGTTTGATATATGTTACGCCATTTTTAAATTACATAAAAAAGTTGGTCATAATATAACCCTTAAAGTTTGTGGAATGACCAAAGTCCTCGTTTGATCCGACTGTACAATAGACGAACTATGATCTTTGAGATAAAAGCGTTTAGCAAAAGACGTAACTATACATCAGAGAAGCACTCGGATTGCGCGAAGGATAAATATGAAACAAACGAAAAGACGGGAGAACGCAGGGTAAGGGATCCTGCTTCCAAAGGTATATACTATGTGAGAGTTAAACGTTCTCAACACGAGCATGTGCGATGGTCGAGATGAGGTCAGAGAGAAAACTCACCAGCGAGGTCGTTCATGGCTTTGCGGATCTCCCAGTGGTCGATGTCTGGCCGGCTGAAGAATTTCTCGTATCTCTCGTCGAACTGCTCGTCCGTCTCGGTCTTGCCGTGCGAAGCCCTCAGCTGCTGGGAGCTCACGGCTGCGGGTCTCGCGATCACCTGTCGCAGTCCACAGACGGCTTTGGTCGCGACGACACGCAACATTTTCCCAAGAGATGGTCTTCCTTAACTTTGCTTTGACACCGAGCACGAGGAGGTTTCGAGCTCCACTCGACAGAACCCGCGGACACACTTATTGCGTAAAAGCCTCTGTCGTGTCGTCTGTCGTCTCTCTGCGCAGTTTGGCTTCTGCTGTATTGACCACGTGATCGACTCCGCTTCTCAGCCAATCATGCATGAATCTTTAATTTATGCTTAAAATATATCCATGTTTTGTTTAAAAAAGTGCATTAATTTAATTATAATTTTGATTGATTAATGAAATAATGGCATCAATACAATGTGCCCCATTTATTTTATGCAATCGAATGATTTTTCATATATTGGCGTTTAACAGAAAAACAAGTAAAACAAGACAGATGTGTAATTTTGCTTGTATTCGCACATATGTGTGTGTACCGACACACACAAATTTTTTTCTTTATTTTTTGCGCTAAACACACAAAATCAATGTCTAAATTTAAAGTTCTTGCATCAATCCGATAAAATAATCTCCAAATCAACGAAAAATAATTGAGCTGACGCACTTTTCTGTACGCAACGATTTGTTTTTCATAATCAACATTGCACGTATGTATATATGTTTATATGTTGCTATAATTAAACTATCGCAAGTCAAAGCTGGGAAGCAAGGATTATTTATAACACAATTATACACCGACAGAAACGATATACTTAACCTGTGGCATCACGAATTTGTTGGGTCTTATCATCGGTTATTAGTGCGTTATTTCTATACGCGCTCACACGTATGTACGCGTCTATTGTTGTCATTGACCAAGTTAGTATCTGCATTGTTCCGATAAAACATTTTTGTGGCGAGTAAGTACTCCACAGGTAAGATTATTTCTATGTATACCTGTAACTATAAGTTTATGGATGCGAGGACTCGAATAAAAACGCGTTTAGATATCTGCGACGGAGAAAAAGTAAAAATGAGCCGACCTCGCAGTTGAACTTTGGAGGAGGAATATATGATTTACAATCGAAATATCGAGCGATTTTGCAGTTGAAAAAACGTGCACGTAAGATTTTATCGGGTAAGAGCAACTGACGTAATTTTGCGGGCTTGAGAAAAAAACCTTAGAAGCGATAAGCACATCTAGTACCCGGAAGGTTGTGGTGCAAAAAAAAAAAAAAAAAAACTATTAACCGCATTCGCATTTGCAATTGTTACCGTTAGTGTTTGTTGTTGCAAACGTAGACGGCAATCTACCGATAGCCCATGTAAAATTATGGAAAAAAAAAAAACTGAAAAGGTTGACGTGGACAGCCCCTATTTGAGGAACTAAGCGATGAGAGTGCATGGGTATACTTATATACTTAATTTTGAAAAAAACATTTTTTCCAGCTTTAATTGTGCGCGCGCAGTACATCAGTCATCAGTGATATCGTCGGGAGTCGGGACGTTGGGTCAGGCGGAGGTCGAGGAAAATGTTTTGGAGTACTTGAAACGGCTTGAAGGTCAGAGTTGCGGAGTTAAAGCCGTTTTGACAAGACTGCTCTTAGAGAAGATTTAGTAAGTTATAAGGTTACAATATAGGTATAACACTTGCTGCAATCAGTTTCCTGTTGTTTGTTGTGCATACATGTACAGTAGCGTCGGCGGCGCCATCACCACCAGATCACCAATCACATATCAAGTATATTGAAGTGTATTCACGATCACGTATCGTCTGTGTGTGTGCAGTGTATGAATGTAACAGATAGGGTGGGTGTGCGTGTGCGGGTTTGGAACTTGGAAGTTGATAGTGAGTGCGCGAGGCGAAGACGTATACGTAGATAGAGAGAGAGTAGAAGCAGAACCAGCCAAGGAGTAGGAAGCATGGCCGAAGCCATTGTAGACGGTACTTCGTCGATGAGCCGATTTTTTTGCCACCGCTGCAGCGTCGAAATCGAGCACTTGCTACCGGTAAGTCAACCTTTACGACCTGATCTCCTAGGTAGCTTAAAAACCATCTGATCCGAGCCCAGTGCTCTCAGTTTGTCCACGTCTGTTACATTGCCAGACCAGTTGTGCAACAGAGACAGAATTACAAATACATATATATACATACATACATGCTTGTATGCTTAGAAAAGCTTTGCTTGTGCTGTGAAAAAATTTCTGACGATGTTTCTTACGTATGCACTTTCCAAGATTGTAAATGATTTTTCATGGTAAGGGTAAGGTTGTTAAACGAAAACAGCATTATCTATACCTATTTGCCTGAGACTGAACCTACGTCCGCGACTATGTGTATACATTATTGTGACTTGTACAGTCAATCTGATGATTCAGAGGATTCTTATTCCTCTTTTTAACTTTTTCTCTCGGGACCTATTTTTAAACTATAGGACAATGTGGGCGAAAAGCTGCACGTCGAGTTCACGACCGTGAGCTCATTAGCTGACGCATCACCAGGTCGTCCTTGCTCCTTTGGTTTTATTTTCCTTACTTTTGTTATGTTTTTCTAAAACATAGGTATCAGCACTCTGTCTTCGTATGCCTTATTTTTTTGCCTTCGTTTGTTGTGTTTCAGATTTTATTTCAGATAACAAATACATTTTTTTCACGAGTAATTATAGATTACGCTTGCTTGCTATTTGTTGATGCCAACTAACACTCTATGTTTCGTTGTTTGATTGCAGGATTACACATGTCCAAGATGTTCCACCGGGTTCATCGAAGAGCTAGAGAGAGGCAGTGCAGGCAACAGATCTTCAGCTGACATTGATATGCAAGACCTTAGCGACATAGAGGTCGACGTTACTGGCCTCGATGATGTAGGTTTCAATTTTCACCAGCTAGTTTAACTAGAGCCTTTTTTTCTTTTTAACAATATCGTTTCTTAAAATCCATAAAATTTCATTTTGACATTATTTACCGAACGTTAGTAGTATTGAAATTCATGAGGAATAGACCATTTTCAAGTTTATTTGGAAAAACACGTTGTTACCTGTTAATATTACATCATATTTAATAGTCTTGCCTACAAGCTATAGGTTTGCCCATCATATAGAAACTAATCAGTCAATAAATTAGTCACAAAGTTGTAGTATTGAAATTTGTGGAATCACACGTGATACAGTAATCAATGTTACTCTAATTTATAAATTTTTTTTATCAACAGTTAAATCATTTTGATTTACCATTCACGCTATTGAGAGCAGCTCAGGCTGCCTCAAGAAACTCAAGTGGTCGGGGCAACAGTATTAGATCTGGAAGTGGGTCCACATCGAGAAACACAAGGTCTGTCAAATTTTGGATTTTTTTTTTTTCATTTTATTTGCACTTGTTACGTGCGTAACTTGGTAAAAATATTCAATGAGTGATTTTCCGATTTTAGGAATCAACAACAGCCACAAGTAGGAATACCACCACAAATAGATAGTTTAATACAAGACCTGTTCCTCAATCTTTCTAGTTTTGGATTCAGTTTTCCACAAGGGCAGGGAGGTCAATCTGTGTAAGTTTCTTAACATTTTCAACCATATGCAATCCGTGAATATATTTATTAGGCTTGCGATAGTAACGTAGCGTTAGATAGTGTTTAAAGCATAATTAATGTAGATTTGATGTTAGACTGTTCATGGGCAATCCAGGAGATTATGTATGGGGCCAAAACGGATTGGATTCTATTGTCACTCAACTTTTAAATCAAATGGATGGAACTGGTCCTCCGCCACTACCAAAAAAACAAATTGACGAAATCCCTACCGCAACAATATCACAACCACAAGTTGGTGAGTTATATTTTAATACTTTTCATCAACGTACTGTACATAGTTTGTTTTACATAATTTGAATTTTCTTCAATGTTACAGACAGCAAACTACAGTGCTCAGTGTGCTGGGACGATTTTGTTATACATGAGGCTGTCCGAAAACTTTCTTGTCAACATTATTACCATGAACCCTGTATCATTCCTTGGCTTGAATTGGTAACTTTTGTACATTCTAAAAATTCAAACTCGAAAATTGGGGTGTAAGAGTGTTGTTGGTTAAACACTAATTGTAAAATTTTCAGCATGGAACTTGTCCAATATGCAGACAAAGTTTAGGAGATCAAACAACCAGTGAAGCAAATCAAGATACAGTGGGACCAAGTTTAGCTGCATTATTCAGGTAAATCATTTAAAGTGGCTAAGATTAAATTACAATACAACATTATAATTTATATATATATATATATATATACGTTTTTAGAGCTGCTGATGAATCCAGTAGTGGTAGAACATCTTCGACATCAATGGGAAACAATTCTAGAAACGACACACCAAATAATTCTTGAAACTAATTTTCAAATCGAATTTTTTCACCTGAATTCTTAATTAACTTTTGTTCTTTCGAAAGAGTTGCGTTTCTATGGTATAATAACTTTTTGTGATTTGAAACATCATTTTGCATGAGAACTGTTGTATTCACATTTAACTTTTGGCAAAGGACAATCAAATTCAACCATGTTGTTATTCATTTATGTACTAGATTATTTTAAGAAGATTTTTGAATTAAACACTTTTTTCCGTATTTTATTAATAGCAACAAATGAGTATAACCATTCAATTTTAATGCAACTGAAATTAATTGACTGGATGTAAATCAAATTCTTTTATCATTATCTAGGATAGCAAAGCGACTTATATTCCTGATAATCTTGTATTATTCTAAAATCAATTTAAAGTTAGTTTTTTTATTTGTTCAAGTTGAAACATTCTACATAATTTTTTTAATTAAGAAAATTTTTTTTTTCTATTGATGTATGTTGAAATTGTTTATTTTTGCTGCTTTGCCAACAGACTGTTTTACATGGTTCTCACAACTTATCAGTAACAATAACGTTTCTCAACTAAGCTAATTTTAAGCTATGATCGACATTAAATGTATGATGAAAAAGGCATGGAAATGCGTTGAAAGTGACGTGAATTAAGTGTATATTCTATATACTAAGAACCTGTAAATATTCTGCTTTAATTTGCAAACTAAATAAGAACCTTAAAATGTACCTCGATGCTTGTTTGTATAAAAATGTAAAGTTACAAAAAATAGTTCTTGCTTAAAAGCAATCAGATCATCCATCGAAGTAACGTACTACAATGGCTTCGGTTTGGTACTATTCAAATAAAACAAAATGTAAAGAGGGTAAATCGCATTGCTCCCAACAAAGTGCAATGTTAGTTTCAATATTATGTATGAATTTGTGAAGTGTATTGCATCTTATAAAAACATACAAGTTTTTAACTACAAGCAAAAAATAACACTATATATTAAAAAAAATTTCATGGCAACCATAATTACGGTAAATAAAAACAATTTTGAAAAGAATAAAACTACTTCAATTACTAAATACTAGAGATGGAATATTTACTATGCAATAATACACCTTTGGTCTTGAACTGATGTTTTTGTTGTGTATTAGAGCTTTTGTATAAAAACCAGTAGAGAAGTGAATGATTATCCAGCACAAAAATTTCGTTAGGCTGATGCATGATGTGCAACTTATGTATTTTTCCGTTTTTGTCCTTAAACTAGGAACTTTTTTCATCAGCCTTTTTCATTCTTTGTTACATAATAATAAAGTTACAATGTTATTTGACACCTGCTTTATATAGTTTATAAATGTATGAATTAGTAAAATGATATAAATTGCATATTTATTCCGAAATTCGAATTTTTATTTAAAAATAACATTTATATTACCGCTTACAAAAACTGATCTGAAGGGCCTATTTACTAATTTACGAAGCATCCTTGGTATATATGTATATATACACGTGACGTAACAACACGTGCGTGTGTACAATAGTGGGGGGGTTGGAGGGGGGGACTTCGACTTCAGTGTGCAATGTGTGCAATGCGGAAAAAAACATTGCTCCATTCTCGATTCGTTCGTTTACGTATGTGGTGGTCGAAGCGCTCGGAACCTATCATCCTAGTCAGTCCAAAAACAACGAAAACCCAAAATCCCACCGTGATTAACTTCTGCGGGTACTTATAAGTTTTGTGATGTGTCAAAGAGTTTTTCCTCATAGTTTTTTAATTATCTCAAATGCAGAAACTTTTAAACTTATTATTTGAGTTGTAGTGAATCGAAGTTGATAGTTTTATGTCCTGTCAGTCCTGTGACATAAAAAAAAATTTGTCTGACTGTGAAAGAAGCACAAATTAATTGGACATGTCGAGGTCGAGGTTATATTTGAGATGAGTTGACAAGAGAGCTGATTAGTAGAAAATACTTCAAATGTTGAAAACAATTTATCTAACCCTAGAGGATGTCGAAAAGAGCCAAAATAGAGCTGGTATCTGAACCATGTCCCATCAAACCTCGAAAAATCAGTCCGCAAAATGTAGTCGTGAGACTGCGTCAGAGAGAAATGAGAGGAATTTCTTACCCTGGAACTCCAAACTATACTTCAAGGCAGTTTTACCAGAATGTCTTCCCTAATTACACGGTATTTAACGTTGAAAAGCCACCGTGTTTTCTTAGAAAATTCAGTCCAGATGGCAAGTACTTAATAGCTTTTAGTGCAGATCAAACTTCGCTGGAAGTTTACGAATACCAAGGAGCTGCTGCAGCGGCAGACCTATTGATTGGTTGCAGAGGAGAGTACATTGGACACAAAAATGACGATAAATCGTTTAATATCAGACGCCACATTTTTAAAAGATTTTTTAAAGTACATGAGTCAATTTTTGCCTTCAAGATTATTCTTTTTTTTTTCTATTTCACGTATTTTGGGACTCCTTTTTTTAGACCAAATGGATTATTAACGTTGCACAAAGTAATGAACAGTTGAATAGAGAATGCAGTCTTTTTACCGATGATGGACGTTATGTTATTGTTGGATCAGCTGCTCACATTCCTGATGATTTGAGACCTCATTTTTATCAGGTACTTAGCTTTCTAATGCATATTTAAACAGATTTTACGGTACTTAATACTTAAAATTTGATATTTTTTTCCAGATCTATTCCAATAATGAAGCCTTAACTCCAAATCCTAGAAATCCTTTAGAAGATTACAGTATTTACTTGGTTGATATCCAATGTGGAAGACTCTGTGATACAAGACAGTTTAAAGTAGATAAAATTTTTCTATCCCAAAACCAAGGTGAGATTATCCACAAAAAAAAAAAAAAAAAAAAAAAATGAATACATTTGTATTAAAACAATACTAAAATTCACTAATTGATTTTGTAGGACTTTATTTATATAAAGACATTCTTGCTGTTTTATCTGTGCAACATCAAACAATTCACATTTTTCAACTGTTAGATGGAAAGTTTTTAAATGTCAGAAAAATCGGCAGGTAAATAACACTGATGGTAATTTACAGTAGATTAATCACTCAGGTCCTCTTACTATTAAATTTATTATTTTAGATTTTGTCTTGAGGATGAATCATACTTGGTATCAAGTGCTTGGCCAGGTGTTAATAACAAACCCTTTAGAGATGTAACAATCAATAGTTTAAAACACAAACTTCTTGTATTTTTGTTCAAAAGAGCCGATTATATCAGTCATTGTTCTGGAAACTCTTACGAATTAGGACGCTTTTACCAGTGTTTTGACCAACTCAATTCGTTAAGAATGTGGAAGATGCAGCTATTAGATACAAATCATATTTTAATTAGATATGCTAGTGAAGAAGTGGCCACGATACAAGCTAATGAACCAAACGCTCAGCCAGCTCTATTAGTTGTTTATGACATTGTTTCTGCAACGATCTTATCTGTATATGACAATACATCTACAGAACTTTTAAAACATTTTGAAAATTTCACAGATTTCTTTAGAAATGCTAGATCGGGCACAGATTGTCAGTACATGTGCTTACCCTCTAATAATATTTACGCAAGGTACTAATGAGTTTTTTAACATTAATTTTTTTTCCAATTAAGTTGTAACGAATGTACGTGATCTCTAGGTTGATGCAGCAAAGATTCAAACAAACGATAATAAGTGCACGGTTTGGTGGTGTAACTGAAGCCACTAGAAGATTGCTTGCTCAGTTACCGATTTGCGCCCAATCTTACTCCAGTTCTCCTTATTTGGATTTATCGTTGTTTTGTTATGACGATAAATGGGTGTCTATGATGGAGAGGCCGAAAACTTGTGGGGAACATCCTATAAGGTATGAATTTAGATTTCGTGATAAATTTAAAAAAAAATTTAAAGCCGTGTAGTTGCAAAGAATACCTTGCACTAATTTCATGTCAATTCATATCGCTGATCGTTCCATAGGTTTTATGCTCGAGATTCGGGACTATTGAAATTCCGAATGCACGCAGGAATATGGGGAAGATCGACGCCTGTGAATGCCAGAAGACTTGTGGCTTTTACGTTTCATCCTACTGATCCATTTGCAATATCGGTTCAACGTACCAACTCGGAATACATTGTTAGTTTCCACGTCCGTCACAGTTGATTATTAGTTAATGATAAACATTTTTAAAACAATGTGTCTTCCTAGGTGATTTTATTAATTACACTTAAAAAAGATGTTTTTTATTGTAAATATTGTACATACGTAAACTTACACATCTATGTATAAAATGTTATAAAATAACAAATTTTATACTCATCAACCATTGTTACACAAAATTTATTTTTAACTCGATATTGATATGTGTCATTACAGTGGAAATAAAAAAGTTTTTGTAAATAAATTAATTTAACGTTTACAATTATATTGAAGTCTTTATTGCAATATATTTTTTTTTTTTATTTTATATTACAGTGTTCTAACCTCTGAGAGGTATGTACACCACTTTATTCAATATAGTTCTGTACATAGAGTAGGTTCTATACATAGAAGTGTTATTTATTTACAGAAAGTTCTACAGTCGTTGATAAAACTAAAATTTGAGTTGGAGCTTTTTGTAAATACGTAAATACTTGAGGAATACCAATTTTTTTTTTTATTTTTTTATTTTTTTTTTATATACAGTACACTGTATTTAACTAGATTTTTAATTTACATTTTTGTAGGAATTTCGAAACAGCTCTGGTGGATGTGCTGTTTGGATAAAAAATGATGCTTTCTATGTTGTATGGAGGATACATGTTCATTTTTTTTAGGTCTTTGAGTAGGTCTTTTCTGGGAGCATCATATAATTGACAGGACCAGATTACATGGTTTAAATCTTCAGAATGATGTCCACATTTACATCCTGGATCTAAAATAATGCCTTTACGATGAAGTGATTCACCCAGGCTGTGGTGGTTAGCCCTCATACGGTTTACACTTACAATGTATAGTCTCTTGGCAAGTTCAGTTTTTTAAACCACGGATCCTTCCTTGATGTGTGGAACAGTTCAAAAAAGAGTTTGCCTTTAAGGTCCCCATCTCGTTTGTTTTTGGCGTCACTGTTAGAGTACGCATTGAAGTAAAAGGTCTCGGTAAGATCCATGTAGTTGACAAAGTCTACCTTTTGCTCAGGAGAGCATGTAGNAAAAAAAAAAAAAAAAAAAAAAAAAAAAAAAAAAAAAAAAAAAAAAAATCACCAGTTGTATCAATTTTTTTTTTAAATATTAGATTAAAGTTGGAAGTCGGGCGGAAGCTAAAGATGGGATAAACAGAACTGCTTTGAGAGAAATAAAATTATTACAAGAGTTGAGGCATGAAAATATTATTGGATTGTTAGGTAAGTTCTACTTGATTACAAATTTTGTTAACTTACCAATAAAAAAAGTTTCAAAAGTTATTCTTTTCATTTTAGATGTTTTCGGTTACAAATCCAACGTTTCACTAGTTTTTGACTTTATGGATACCGATTTAGAAGTTATTATTAAAGACAGCAACATAGTATTGTCACCTGCTAACATCAAGGCTTACATGATACAAACTCTACAAGGCCTTGATTATTTGCACTTCAACTGGATCCTTCATAGAGATTTAAAGCCTAACAATTTACTCATTAGCAGTGAAGGTGTGCTTAAAATTGGTGATTTTGGTTTGGCAAAGTTTTTTGGATCCCCAAACAGAATAAATACACATCAAGTAGTGACTCGATGGTACAGAGCACCAGAGTTGCTTTATGGAGCAAGGCTTTATGGTAGGGGAATCGATATGTGGGCTGTTGGGTGTATACTCGCTGAGCTGTTGCTTCGATGTCCATTCTTTGCAGGGGAATCTGACTTGGATCAGCTGACTAAAATTTTTCAGGTATGTTTACTTGAAAAAATATTTAGTTCACAAGAGGCAACGAAAAATCATGAGCATTTAATACTTATAACATTTTAGGCCCTTGGAACGCCAACTGAAGAAACGTGGCCTGGAGTGACACAGTTACCAGATTTCATACAATTCAAGCCCTTTCCAGCTGTACCATTGAGAGACATATTTACCGCTGCTGCCGATGATCTTCTTGACCTACTTACCAGTTTGTTAAATATTAATCCTTTGGACAGATGTACTTGTGATCAAGCACTACAGATGCCTTACTTTAGCAATAATCCACCACCTACACCAAAAGATAAGCTACCATTTCCAAATTCCATTAAAAGACTGCCAGAAGATAAGCCAAGTTTGAAAAGAAAATTGTTAGAGGCCACTGATGGAGCTTCTTTAGCCAAAAGACTGCAATTTTAATACTTAAAGGGTAATTTCAATGTTCCACTTCTCTCATCGAGTTAAGGAAATAATTAATAATGTACAAATCATATTAAAAATTAGGGCTATGAATTTTTCGGTTCAGTTTGTTAAAATTTTAAACTTATTGTAATAAAATGATAGTAGTTTTAGTCACATGAATGTCATTTCCACCGTGGCTATCCAGAGGCCTAAGGGACTTGGATATTCACCTCATGTGACATCCAAAGTACTAGAGAACTGCCCGAGGTAAGAACAATAATTCTTCACACAATAATAAACACTTGTTTCAATGCAATAAGTGACTGCATTTATTTCTTATAAACTGAAAATTAGTAATAAAATTTTTATTTTCGCTGGTGTTTCTCTTTTAATAATTGTGTTTTTATTATCAAAGATCAGTAGAAATGTAACAGACGTACCTGAAGCTAGATCGAAAAAAAAAATTCTACTGCTCTTGAACACTTTAGATAAATTAGAAATTATGTTATAAATAATTGTAACTAATTCTTTATAAGAAATGACACATTGGATAAACATTTAATATTTAGTGAAAAAGTGTAAAACATTTCTCGAGTAAATTTACATTAAAAGTTTCAATCATAATGTCATGTACAGCAGAAACGAATGAGATGTAAATAAAAATGTGTTTTTAAAGATTTTCACATTTATGTCCTTTTAATTTAAGATTCAACTTAGGACAGAGTAGATAAATAAATCTTTACGAATTATCAGTGCTTCAAAATTATTTTAAATAGTATTAGGGTTAACGAAATTTTAAATTTATACATGTAAAAAGCTGAGCCTTGAAAATAAACTTATTCTAAGTTATAAACGTGAATAACCGAACAAAAATCTTATAATTACAATTTAAGTTTCTATTACTGATAAGGCCATATGCAATCACCGCACGTTCTTGTTATTTTAGTAATTTTCGTAAATCTTCCACTGCTCCCAGCATATTGAAATGTGCACTTGCACTTATTTATTGTATTTATACATATAAAAAAGACACATTATTAATTAATATTATTAAAGAATTTATATGTAAAAGTGAAAGTGGTCCCTATATATATATATATACTCACGTCGCGATCCGATCCGCGATCCGCATCTCCAGGATTCATTTTCTCGAATTCCGAATTTCCGACACGTGCGCATATACATCGTAATGCAATGCAATGCTATCCGAAAATTGTAAGACGAGCTTAAAGTGCCCACGGTCCACTAATTAACGTGCTCAATGAGTTTTCAAACAGTTTATTTTATTATAAGTTATTATTTTATAATCAGATTAAATACTTAGTAAATATGACGTAATTTTAGTCTAACAAACGAATTTATTGATAATAAATTAGTCGACTCTATCTGCAAGATGGTTGAAAAATTCAAAAGATACGAAAAAATTGACTTTCTGGGAGAAGGACAGGTTAGTTGGAAAAAAATTACGAATAAAAATTAAACATCCATTCGCAAACTAATTTTCTGAATATTTGATTACCTAGTTTGCCACAGTTTACAAGGCTAAAGACAATGTGACAAACAACATCGTGGCCGTCAAAAAGGTTTTCTTANATGAATGTCATTTCCACCGTGGCCATTTCCAGTTTGTTAAAATTTTAAACTTATTGTAATAAAATGATAGTAGTTTTAGTCACATGAATGTCATTTCCACCGTGGCCATTTCCAGTTTGTTAAAATTTTAAACTTATTGTAATAAAATGATAGTAGTTTTAGTCACATGAATGTCATTTCCACCGTGGCCATTTCCAGTTTGTTAAAATTTTAAACTTATTGTAATAAAATGATAGTAGTTTTAGTCACATGAATGTCATTTCCACCGTGGCCATTTCCAGTTTGTTAAAATTTTAAACTTATTGTAATAAAATGATAGTAGTTTTAGTCACATGAATGTCATTTCCACCGTGGCCATTTCCAGTTTGTTAAAATTTTAAACTTATTGTAATAAAATGATAGTAGTTTTAGTCACATGAATGTCATTTCCACCGTGGCCATTTCCAGTTTGTTAAAATTTTAAACTTATTGTAATAAAATGATAGTAGTTTTAGTCACATGAATGTCATTTCCACCGTGGCCATTTCCAGTTTGTTAAAATTTTAAACTTATTGTAATAAAATGATAGTAGTTTTAGTCACATGAATGTCATTTCCACCGTGGCCATTTCCAGTTTGTTAAAATTTTAAACTTATTGTAATAAAATGATAGTAGTTTTAGTCACATGAATGTCATTTCCACCGTGGCCATTTCCAGTTTGTTAAAATTTTAAACTTATTGTAATAAAATGATAGTAGTTTTAGTCACATGAATGTCATTTCCACCGTGGCCATTTCCAGTTTGTTAAAATTTTAAACTTATTGTAATAAAATGATAGTAGTTTTAGTCACATGAATGTCATTTCCACCGTGGCCATTTCCAGTTTGTTAAAATTTTAAACTTATTGTAATAAAATGATAGTAGTTTTAGTCACATGAATGTCATTTCCACCGTGGCCATTTCCAGTTTGTTAAAATTTTAAACTTATTGTAATAAAATGATAGTAGTTTTAGTCACATGAATGTCATTTCCACCGTGGCCATTTCCAGTTTGTTAAAATTTTAAACTTATTGTAATAAAATGATAGTAGTTTTAGTCACATGAATGTCATTTCCACCGTGGCCATTTCCAGTTTGTTAAAATTTTAAACTTATTGTAATAAAATGATAGTAGTTTTAGTCACATGAATGTCATTTCCACCGTGGCCATTTCCAGTTTGTTAAAATTTTAAACTTATTGTAATAAAATGATAGTAGTTTTAGTCACATGAATGTCATTTCCACCGTGGCCATTTCCAGTTTGTTAAAATTTTAAACTTATTGTAATAAAATGATAGTAGTTTTAGTCACATGAATGTCATTTCCACCGTGGCCATTTCCAGTTTGTTAAAATTTTAAACTTATTGTAATAAAATGATAGTAGTTTTAGTCACATGAATGTCATTTCCACCGTGGCCATTTCCAGTTTGTTAAAATTTTAAACTTATTGTAATAAAATGATAGTAGTTTTAGTCACATGAATGTCATTTCCACCGTGGCCATTTCCAGTTTGTTAAAATTTTAAACTTATTGTAATAAAATGATAGTAGTTTTAGTCACATGAATGTCATTTCCACCGTGGCCATTTCCAGTTTGTTAAAATTTTAAACTTATTGTAATAAAATGATAGTAGTTTTAGTCACATGAATGTCATTTCCACCGTGGCCATTTCCAGTTTGTTAAAATTTTAAACTTATTGTAATAAAATGATAGTAGTTTTAGTCACATGAATGTCATTTCCACCGTGGCCATTTCCAGTTTGTTAAAATTTTAAACTTATTGTAATAAAATGATAGTAGTTTTAGTCACATGAATGTCATTTCCACCGTGGCCATTTCCAGTTTGTTAAAATTTTAAACTTATTGTAATAAAATGATAGTAGTTTTAGTCACATGAATGTCATTTCCACCGTGGCCATTTCCAGTTTGTTAAAATTTTAAACTTATTGTAATAAAATGATAGTAGTTTTAGTCACATGAATGTCATTTCCACCGTGGCCATTTCCAGTTTGTTAAAATTTTAAACTTATTGTAATAAAATGATAGTAGTTTTAGTCACATGAATGTCATTTCCACCGTGGCCATTTCCAGTTTGTTAAAATTTTAAACTTATTGTAATAAAATGATAGTAGTTTTAGTCACATGAATGTCATTTCCACCGTGGCCATTTCCAGTTTGTTAAAATTTTAAACTTATTGTAATAAAATGATAGTAGTTTTAGTCACATGAATGTCATTTCCACCGTGGCCATTTCCAGTTTGTTAAAATTTTAAACTTATTGTAATAAAATGATAGTAGTTTTAGTCACATGAATGTCATTTCCACCGTGGCCATTTCCAGTTTGTTAAAATTTTAAACTTATTGTAATAAAATGATAGTAGTTTTAGTCACATGAATGTCATTTCCACCGTGGCCATTTCCAGTTTGTTAAAATTTTAAACTTATTGTAATAAAATGATAGTAGTTTTAGTCACATGAATGTCATTTCCACCGTGGCCATTTCCAGTTTGTTAAAATTTTAAACTTATTGTAATAAAATGATAGTAGTTTTAGTCACATGAATGTCATTTCCACCGTGGCCATTTCCAGTTTGTTAAAATTTTAAACTTATTGTAATAAAATGATAGTAGTTTTAGTCACATGAATGTCATTTCCACCGTGGCCATTTCCAGTTTGTTAAAATTTTAAACTTATTGTAATAAAATGATAGTAGTTTTAGTCACATGAATGTCATTTCCACCGTGGCCATTTCCAGTTTGTTAAAATTTTAAACTTATTGTAATAAAATGATAGTAGTTTTAGTCACATGAATGTCATTTCCACCGTGGCCATTTCCAGTTTGTTAAAATTTTAAACTTATTGTAATAAAATGATAGTAGTTTTAGTCACATGAATGTCATTTCCACCGTGGCCATTTCCAGTTTGTTAAAATTTTAAACTTATTGTAATAAAATGATAGTAGTTTTAGTCACATGAATGTCATTTCCACCGTGGCCATTTCCAGTTTGTTAAAATTTTAAACTTATTGTAATAAAATGATAGTAGTTTTAGTCACATGAATGTCATTTCCACCGTGGCCATTTCCAGTTTGTTAAAATTTTAAACTTATTGTAATAAAATGATAGTAGTTTTAGTCACATGAATGTCATTTCCACCGTGGCCATTTCCAGTTTGTTAAAATTTTAAACTTATTGTAATAAAATGATAGTAGTTTTAGTCACATGAATGTCATTTCCACCGTGGCCATTTCCAGTTTGTTAAAATTTTAAACTTATTGTAATAAAATGATAGTAGTTTTAGTCACATGAATGTCATTTCCACCGTGGCCATTTCCAGTTTGTTAAAATTTTAAACTTATTGTAATAAAATGATAGTAGTTTTAGTCACATGAATGTCATTTCCACCGTGGCCATTTCCAGTTTGTTAAAATTTTAAACTTATTGTAATAAAATGATAGTAGTTTTAGTCACATGAATGTCATTTCCACCGTGGCCATTTCCAGTTTGTTAAAATTTTAAACTTATTGTAATAAAATGATAGTAGTTTTAGTCACATGAATGTCATTTCCACCGTGGCCATTTCCAGTTTGTTAAAATTTTAAACTTATTGTAATAAAATGATAGTAGTTTTAGTCACATGAATGTCATTTCCACCGTGGCCATTTCCAGTTTGTTAAAATTTTAAACTTATTGTAATAAAATGATAGTAGTTTTAGTCACATGAATGTCATTTCCACCGTGGCCATTTCCAGTTTGTTAAAATTTTAAACTTATTGTAATAAAATGATAGTAGTTTTAGTCACATGAATGTCATTTCCACCGTGGCCATTTCCAGTTTGTTAAAATTTTAAACTTATTGTAATAAAATGATAGTAGTTTTAGTCACATGAATGTCATTTCCACCGTGGCCATTTCCAGTTTGTTAAAATTTTAAACTTATTGTAATAAAATGATAGTAGTTTTAGTCACATGAATGTCATTTCCACCGTGGCCATTTCCAGTTTGTTAAAATTTTAAACTTATTGTAATAAAATGATAGTAGTTTTAGTCACATGAATGTCATTTCCACCGTGGCCATTTCCAGTTTGTTAAAATTTTAAACTTATTGTAATAAAATGATAGTAGTTTTAGTCACATGAATGTCATTTCCACCGTGGCCATTTCCAGTTTGTTAAAATTTTAAACTTATTGTAATAAAATGATAGTAGTTTTAGTCACATGAATGTCATTTCCACCGTGGCCATTTCCAGTTTGTTAAAATTTTAAACTTATTGTAATAAAATGATAGTAGTTTTAGTCACATGAATGTCATTTCCACCGTGGCCATTTCCAGTTTGTTAAAATTTTAAACTTATTGTAATAAAATGATAGTAGTTTTAGTCACATGAATGTCATTTCCACCGTGGCCATTTCCAGTTTGTTAAAATTTTAAACTTATTGTAATAAAATGATAGTAGTTTTAGTCACATGAATGTCATTTCCACCGTGGCCATTTCCAGTTTGTTAAAATTTTAAACTTATTGTAATAAAATGATAGTAGTTTTAGTCACATGAATGTCATTTCCACCGTGGCTATCCAGAGGCCTAAGGGACTTGGATATTCACCTCATGTGACATCCAAAGTACTAGAGAACTGCCCGAGGTAAGAACAATAATTCTTCACACAATAATAAACACTTGTTTCAATGCAATAAGTGACTGCATTTATTTCTTATAAACTGAAAATTAGTAATAAAATTTTTATTTTCGCTGGTGTTTCTCTTTTAATAATTGTGTTTTTATTATCAAATTTTAGATTTTGTCTTGAGGATGAATCATACTTGGTATCAAGTGCTTGGCCAGGTGTTAATAACAAACCCTTTAGAGATGTAACAATCAATAGTTTAAAACACAAACTTCTTGTATTTTTGTTCAAAAGAGCCGATTATATCAGTCATTGTTCTGGAAACTCTTACGAATTAGGACGCTTTTNTTTTTCATGCCATTAAAATTTTTTTGCAAAACCTTAAAAATTAAACAAAATTTTTGTTTAATTATTAACTCAAAATTTATCTTAAAAAAGTCCAATTTGTCTGTTTTTATAAATAAAAGTACTTAAACTTGCACAATATTAATTTGATGAATTACGACTGCGTTTTGACCATATTAAGCTATTAAATACACATTTTTTTTTTATCTAGCGACTTGCACAAAGATGTTTCTTTTGGTTGGATAGAAATCACCCACAAAATATAAGCACGCAGTGTACAATTGAATAATTAAATTTTTCCCACTTATCCCAGCCACGTGTGCTTTTTTTTACATAAGGAACATTTTATTGTAACCATGTATTTTCTTAACTCCATCGTGCTAAATTTAATGCACGAGCCCGTTGTATAAAATATTTCATTATAATTTACAATAATAAACAGTCAATAAGACAATTACAATATACAACTAAAACAACTCAACAGTGAATTCGCGTGAATGATAAAAAAAAAGATAATACTTAAAATAATACGATTGCTTTTACATACAATAAATTACACTGAAATACAAAAAATATACGCGCATATATGTACACATACATAGGCTGTGCATTGTCTCCTTCATTATATTTACAGTTTTCGTTATTTTTCATACAAAAAATTAAATCTCTCGCTTAACTGCTCGAAATATAATATATGTTTTTGCGTTACTAAAAGAGACAGTATTTGCACTTTGAAATAATTTAGCATTCCCACAATTTGATTATTATACGATTCCTATTTATTCGTGTAACTCATCGGTATTCATAAAAATTTTATCATTGTCATGGATTAATAAAATCTTTATTTTTTCTCTCGACCCCTAACAGTCTCTGAATTAATGTGAAACTTGACAAAGAATTAAGAACATTTTTGTGACAGTGTTAACATACACAAAGTTACTGGTAACTTGGCGTTTATCTTAATTACTACTATTTGTGGACTTTTGAGTCCCGATAAGCACAATTTTCTCACATCTTTCAATTATCTAGTATTCAAGTTTTATAAAAAATGTATAAATATATTTTTTATGTTCGTTAAAACACAGTCAAATGCAGCTTTTAAAAATAAAAGGGTGAATAACAGTTGAACATACGAAAAAATTTTTTAGCAGTGCTTTATTAGAGCATTAAGATTTCAGCTAGTTGCGATGAGGCACGATAATAAATAGTAATAGCGATGATAATAATTTTTCGATGGTTCCGTGTATTAACTGATAGTTTTATTGTAAAACACTCTTTTCAAGTAACCTACTTTGTCTTAAATTTTATTTTTTCAATATTAAAAGTAGAAATACCGTAAATATTGTATTACTACTGTTTTCTTTTTTTCTTTTTAATATATTATAACCAGTAGTCAGTCAACATTATATGCATACATAATTACTATCCTCGTATTTATTTATTTTTTTAATCATTCTATCTATATTATATATTAATTTCTTTACAAAATTTATCTTTAACATTCAATATTTATATATTTATGTATATGTATATGAATATCTATCTCTTTGAAATATTTACAATCAATGCTAGGACTTATTTTTGTTTGTTGTGTTAACGTTTTACAAAGGCAATTACTGGATGTAACCATATTTGCTACTCATTATGTCATCACACAAAAAAATTTCTTTCAATTAATTACTATCTGCGATCCTGTTTTATGTGTATTCAACGTTTTATACACGTTTAAATTCGATGGACACAGGAACTGCAGATTCTTACATGATTTCGATTGGTACACCAGTTTGATTTTTTGTGGTATAGGTATATCAACTCAAACAAATATAAAAAAATTTCAGGATTAAAAAAGTTATAATAAAAAATAATTTTCTCAATTTAATGTGTTTTTCCAAACAACCGTCAAATAATGGTAACAAAAAAATATATTTTTCGAATAACAAAAAAAATAAGGCACTCGTATGTATCAATCGTGCCAAAAAAATTAAATTTAATAGTATGAAACGCGACTCTGCAAGTATTACGCAAACCATTTACAAGAAATGAAAAAATTATCTTTAGAATTGGTTAAACAAGAAAAAAATCTAGTTTATGGCATTACTTTTTAAAAATTTTCTTACAAAAAAAATTGTAACTACATTCACTCATCTGCAAACTAAATGCTCCCATGTCTTTGTAAAAATAAAGATAAATACACCTATTCAAAATGCGCTTACGTAATACTTGAATATCTAAAGCATTTCATTAATCACATATATCATCTGTTTCTTCAGTTAAGTCACCATCATACATAATCTGCACTGATTCATATGTTTCGTTTGTCTTCGCGCTAACGTAGTTTTTAGCATTCGTTCACTATCATAAGACTTAGTTAAAGCTCAAAAGACAACGAGAAACAAAAAAAAAATAAATGGCGGCATCATCGTATCACAAAATAATACATATTCGACCTGGCGAAAAGAGGAACAGAGAGTTTGTTTCATCAGGTCCTGATATATATAGCACAAGAGGGGTGCGAATTGTTTGCTCCCTTCACAATTTAAGCACGTCAATGGCAGCTACGGCAGTAGTAACAATTATAACAACATTATCAACAATGACGGTATCAACGAAGTTGACGTGGCTGAGAGGGAGAGAATTCGAGGCCCACCTCAGGGTATTATCACGCCGTCTGATACGTGCGAGTTCCTGGAGTTATTCTCTTTCGGCGAGTTGGTGGCGATGCTGCTCACCTGCCTGGACACGTTGTTCGACGTGAAGAACTTAAAGTCCGAGCCGTTGGGCAGTTTGCGCATTATCTTGCCGGACGTGATGAGCCGGCCAAAGCCTTCCTGGTGGGCGAACGCGTAACCCGAGCGCAACGAGCGCCGCGTGCGCCTTGTCGATGGCGTCCGTAGCACGTCCTGGCTCTGTCGCGTGCGCATCTGGACGAGGCGTTGTTTCAGCCGCACACGGTCCGACAGCGTTGGCCGCACGTCCACGAAGAAGAAGCGCCACGAGAGCACCGGGATCACGAGCATGATGCACGATATCACCGACACGAACCAAAAGGTCGCCTCCGACATTGCCTGCGTGTAATGTACATTATCAGTATAACATTATACATGTGAATCGTGATGGTGCAACCAGGTAATTTATACATGCACTCACCATTTGAAGGCTGCCCACGTAGCTGCCTCTTACGACGTAATTGTAAGAGAAGTCTAAAATGAAGTACCAAATGAGAGAGCCCCAAACCATAAAATGATTGACGATCGTCCAGTACGATGTGTCGAGAGCTATTTGAGCAGTCACAACTATAACTAATACCGTAGCCACCACGCTGCCAAAAAGCATGTGATCCGAAAGTATGTAGCCCCTTGGAGAAACGCCGTCCCTGTATGCTCCTAAAAAATAAAAGTAAATGAAAAATTAGAGGTTTTAACTGATTCTTGTGAAAAGCATGCAAATTTTTGATAAATAAAAACGGTAATTTACCATAGGGCACTAAAAAAATCACGCAACTGGCAAACAAGCCGTGAACAGCACTCATGAAGAATTCTTTTCGGTTGAAAAGCAGATTCTCAAGACCCGGTGTGTATAGTTTTGGGTACAGCAAACTGTTCTTATCATTGACATCTTGATCGAATACGCCGACTGCCAAAACGGGTAGTGACGTGTAAAACAAGTTATAGACGGAAATGTACATGGGATCGAAAACGGTCTGAAAAAGAGAAAATCGAATTGTTAGAAAAACAAAAAAGTGCGAAATAGCGTTGTGCAATGTCAGTTTATGCAGGGCAATAATCAGTAGTAAATCAAATATTCAATTTCCTAAGACTCAACCGCGGAGATAACTCAACGTGGGAATCTCTGGAATCATATTCGCCTTATACTCATCATTTTGGGAAAAACTGAAAAGCAATTTTCTTCAAGCCAAAAACATTAAATGAGCCTTACCTGTGCGCTGAATCCACAAAAGAAGGCGAACCAAATGTGACATAGAGTGAACGCAAAGTTTTTGTAGAAAAAATATCTAAGGAACTTGGACATTCTGTAATAGGACCATCTGCCATGAACTAAGAGCAACCTCTCGAGAAATCTAAATTGTCCTATCGAGTAGTCCGAAGCTAATACTGCCTGCATACCCTCTTGGCCGCTTATGCCGACACCTATGTGGGCGGTTTTTATCATGGATACGTCGTTGGCCCCATCACCCACCGCTAACGTCACGGCTTTCATACTTTTCTTCACGAGCTCGACCACCATTGCTTTTTGCAGAGGCGTTACTCGACAACAGATCACAGATTTACCTGGAAAGAAAAATCAAGTTAACATTATTCTTTCTCTTAGCACAAATGACCGCTCGATTTGTGGCTCACATTGGCAAGAGACTTCTAAAAATAGTTGCTCCATCTGAGGATGCAGCGCGTGAACTAAGGAATGGCCATTAATGACCACTGCGAAAGCCGGCTGTAAGTCATCCGGCTCTTGATCGTCAGCCTCTTCCCTAGTTGGATTGTTGTACTCTGTATCGCTATTGTTTGACAATAAAATATTTGTTTAGATTAATGAAATCTTTGCTTCGTGTCACGTCCGCGAGATTCGTGTAGTTATCAAGACAAGCCTTTAATTCACAATTATAAACTGTAGTTAAGCCACTGCTACATGGTACAAGTTTGCCCAAAAATGTAATCCCTTTAGTCCAAACTAAATTTTCTACATGATTTTTTACAAACTTTTTGGTAGCATGATAAAAGATCAGATGAAATGAGAAACTAGCAAACGTGACTACGGATTCTTGGATTCTTGTTATTTAAAAGGTCTCGATATGTTAAGCATACAGAAAGAGAAGGAGTGAATAATCAAGCATTAAGTAATAACTATTACTCATACAATACTGAATTATCGATGTAACTATACACGTATACAGATGAAATTAAAAGGTATCGAATGTATTGTTTTACAAGCAGTTCTACCTAAAAATATAGTAATTAGATGTGTAAATTTTTACTATTCCAAACATTATTGTACAAGCTACTTTTACACTTGGAGAAGGTTTAGGGAAGTGCATATTATAAAAAGAAATTGGCTTCCAAGAAAAAAAATACATAAGAATTTATTGAACTTTGTTTCAATTGCATGCATTTAATTAAAATTGTTTGTTTTTTAACGTTATGTATAGTTATAAACATCGGAGATTTTAAGAAACGCGGAGATATCGTTCCTTGATAAATTATTGAGACATTTACTTTGATTAAATTGAGGAAAAAAATATAACGCGTGTAAAAGTAACATCGTACATTGTAAGCTCTTCCAAACAAGGGAAAAATAAATAGAGGGGGTTGGATTGAGTGTAAATGTAAGTAAATCAATTCAAAGGTATAAGTACATACGTGGGGGAATAAAAACGCCAAAGAGATATGAGTAAGTATACAGTACATAGTTATTTAATAAAGATCGTACTCCGTCTCTTTCGTTTGCCTGACCTTTCCTTGTCCCACCTGAACGTGACGATGGAGAGAGTCGGCCTCTTCTGTTGATTCGAAGTGACTTTTTTAACTGTTTCTAGATACCGTGTCAGCTGGGTCTCGACGCCGTCGTACGTCACAGCGTCCACGATGAACACGTCCGTCAGATCATCCGTCAACAGCTGGCACGAGTAGCCGATATTGATAGCCGTCTCTGCAAAAGATCCGACATCACCGTCAATCACACAAGCAACTCGTATACTCGCGGAATGACACATATACACTGACCGTCAAAGTATACACTATACCTTGTTTGTCACCTGTGAGTACCCAGAGCTTGATACCGGCAAGACTGAGATTGGCGATCGTCTGGGGCACGCCGTCCTGGAGCTTGTCCTCGATGGCCGTGGCACCCAGTAGAGTCATGTCCTTCTCGATCTCCTCGTAAATCGCGTCAAGCTTGTCGTCCTTGTTCTCGTTACTGAGCGACGCCTCGTGGTGCCTCTGCTTCCAATCGTTGAAGTAACTCTCGTCCAGGTCCTTTGTCGACAGGCACAGCGTTCGCAGGCCTAAGAAAAACAACACCAACCATCAAGACCAACGAGCCACGAGCCTGCACTCACGCACAACACGTTAAGTATAAAGAAAGCCATCGTGGACTGACCCTCGCCGGCGAACTTGTTGAGGTGCTCTTGGGTCTTGGCCTTCATGTCGTCGCTACCCTTTTTCACCCTCTCGTATATGACGTTGTCCGCCCCCTTGCAGTACAACTTGATCTTACCGTCCCTCCTCAGTATGACCGACATTCTCTTTCTAACGTTGTTGAAGTCGAGGATGCATAGCAACTCGTAGATCTCGCGTTTGCCGTTGACGTCGATGGTTATGCTGTTGGGGGAGCGCTCGCGGAAGACGAAGCCGAAGTTGCGCGCCGCCGAGACCAGGGCCGCTTCGTCCGGCGATTGGGCTTGGTACTCGAGGTGGCCGTTCTTCTCCTCGGCCATGACCGTGTGGCAGAGCGCCAGTAGGCGAAAAAAACAGTGCACGTCCTCGTTGCCCAGCTTCGCCGCCTCGAGCAGGCTCGGGTCGTAAAACTTGAAGTCCGGCTCGTAGTCCTTGTTGAATGAGAAATCGATCGACGGCACTGTCTGTATTTTTTTTTTTTTTTTCCCAAAGGACCAAAAAAAAAAAAAAACGAATGATTATCATCAGAGACGTTGACTACGGGTATTTTTACTTTTCGCATCAAGCTGAGTATATATATAAAATGTATATTCGTATCTGGTAGACGCATTTCTTTTTTTTTTTCTCATCGACAACAAATGTATCTACATAGAAATGCGCTTTCTGAAAGAGTTCTCTTTTGCAAAGTTGTCCAGTATAATATGTATAAACTTTTTCCAAGTGCTTCGATGTATGTACATCATAAAATTATTTTCACGTAGCCGACAAGTAGGTACAATAATTTACAAGTTGCAGACACGCATTTATTGTAAAAATGGCACGCGTGTTGTCTCGACTCGGAGATAATATACACGGGGACTCGAAAAATATATCACCTTTTTTACAGAGGTGCTCTCCTTTGAGAAAGCGGCAAGGATCGAAAGAACAAAAAAAAAAAAAAACAAAAAAAAACAAAAAAACAAACAAAAAAAGTGCGTCCACGATGTTTTGACGATAGCTCTTTGAAAGAAAAAATTTACGCAGTTCATACAGCTGTGAAAAAAAAGTACAAGTCAAGAGGCTACAAAGTGTTGCGATCTCAATGTTAATGGAGAGCCACGAACCAAGAATATGGAAAAATCCCTCGTCGAGTAGGTGTATATATTATATACCTACCCATAGAAAAAATACCGCCAGGCGCTTACAAATGATTTTTGGAGCAAAGAAAGGGTCGGGGGAGGGAGATAGAGGGAGGAGCAAATAAATAAGCGTAAAGCTGGTGAAAAATACGAAAAAGTGCCTTTGCCGAGCTTGACAAAAGTGTGCGAGAGCGTTACAACACGTGGTGGAGAAAAACCATGCAAATGCGCCGTAAGCTTTCAAGTAGTATAAAAGCACAGGAAAAATTTCACATGGAAAAATGTAGGTAATTTTTAGTGCGACCAATATATTACAAGCAGAGCTAAAGCAAGAGAGTTAAATATATTAGGTATATGTATGTATGTATTTATTTGCATGCGTACTGAATATTTAAGTGGAACTTTGGCATCGCCGTTGATGCCGGCCGGCTCGGGCGTCGTATTGGACACTAGATCGGCTTGCTCCAGCAGACGAGCATTAGCGCCGCTAGTTAGGGGCGAGTGGACAAATTCTTGACCGTTTTTCCATTTGACTTTCGGCGTGCGCTCGGCCTTTGATTCTGTCTACACTCGTTGGTATAGGTATACACAAATAATGAGGTACATGCACGGGCACACGCGCACACACACATGCTCTTCTATGAGGGAGAGGATTTTGTTGGCAAAAATTTTTAATTCCTTTTTTTTTTTTTTTTCTTTTTCGCGTACACAGTTATTACATTAAATTTCTGGGCGTTGTCTTCTTACTTTGGGGAACATTCCTTGTAACATGTGCGTCGACGTAACAAGTAAGTTTTGTAAAATAAGCGAAACGTGTGTAAAACATCGACAAAATTGAACAAGTAAGAATCACTGATCAGTGCGGTGTATGAAACATCGAATTGCGTAACGAAAACGTTTCCAACGTCTGCACGGATAGAAGGGAGGTACAGGATTTGAAATTTTTCGTGTGCGTGAGTTTCAGTCAAGCAGTGCGACTTTAAATTCGACATCGAAAAATACACAGACAATAAATAATGGAAAGAAAAAAAAAAAAAAAACTTCTATTAATTCAATGTATCAAATGATCACGCAAAAATGATGAAAAGTAAATTTGATTACCCTCGAATTTATAGAGACAACATTATTGTTCGATTAATCAAACGGAGTATAACCAACATAGAAAAAAAAAATTTATTTTATGAAAAATTCAAAACCTCTTTGAGTATGTATATAAATAAAAAAAAAAAATCCAGTGCTTAAACCATCGGACTCTCGTAAAAATGCGACTACTATATCCGTGACATACGATACTTACAACACGCACATACGAGTTTGAGAAAAAAAAAAAAAAGAAAAGAAAACTCACCCTGACTTCGACAAGATCGACGATTTCACCGGTCGCTTCGTCGATCACGTCCCCGTAGCACTGCGCGGCGACGGAGCACTTGTTAAACGTCATGATGTTCTGGGTAAGGGTGCCCGTCTTGTCCGAGAATATGTACTGTATCTGGCCGAGCTCCTCGTTGAGGGTAGTCGTGCGTGCCCGGGCGTGGGTGTTGGTGGGCGCGTGGTACATCTCCTCGTCCCAGTTGATGAGAAACGACTGTACGAACCTTATGACCTCTACCGAGACGTACAGGCTGATCGGCACCACGGTGTTCAATACTATCGCGTAAGAGAAGAACACCAGCAGGGCTATCACTGTGGCCCCTATGTACGGCTCGCTCGGCACCAACGAGTCCCACGGCAGGTACACCTGTACATTTTTTTTTTTTTTTTTTTTTTTTTCGTTCAATTCATCAATTTTTATAGCAAATATAGATAAGTACACACATGCTTGGACAGCAGCAATTTGGAAATCACAAAGAAAAAAAACAACTTTTATAAAATTAACGATGTTGACTGTAAAGATACTCAAAGCAAGAAATTTAACCCACTTTTTGTACAATCCCTTTTACTTTTTTTTATAAATTCTTATTACGTTGAATCTTTACATCAACAAAATTGCATGCATTGATTTCTCCATTGATTGAGCGCTTTTTTTCGTATAATGTTTTTTTTTTTAATCCCCGGTTGGAATACGTATATAAATACCTGAAAGTAGCGTCCAACGAGGCTCTCCCAGATGCCACAGCCAACGGAACAGAAGGCGCACAGGGAGAGCAGAACCAGGACAATGCCGATAATGAGTAAATTCAGCAGCCTGTCTATCGAGGTCCTCTTGAACTTGCTTTTACCCGAGTTTTGCATCAATTTCGTGTCTTTGCCCGCAAAGATCACTATACCGTAGCACCATTGGGTATTGCGCAACACGCAGCCCCGCAATATTACCTTGTCGTTGTCGAGTATGTACCTGTTTTTTTTTTTTCGATCATTGGCAACAAGAGAAATTAAACGTTGGAAGAAAAATGACGAACGAGGTAAAAAAAAAAAAAAAAAGTATTTATACCCACTTTTTGCCCCTCCACGTGAGAATGCCGTCGAATTTGTTAAGCAAATTGTTGGGCGGCTCGCACAGGATTTCACCGTCGAACTCGCCGATCAGCTCGTGATTGTCCATCATCTCGGAAGTTTCTGGCAAGCACTGCCGGCACTTTAAATTCGTCTCCCTGCGCGCGATGAAAATTAAACAATTAAACACGTGAATGATGACGTTGAGGGAAAAAAAGGAAGAAAAAAGAAAAAAGAAAACCAACCCGTCCAACTCGGCCGTTTCGATGTAGCAAAGGCCGTTGGGCTCGCTCGTCGATAACAAAAGAACGTCGGCGGCGACAAACTGGTCGTTCTCCATGCGTATGACGTCGCCAACTTGGACCTCGGACCATTTTTCCTCGCGCAGGGTCGTGCCCCGCAGGGTCCACGATTTCCTATTGTTCACCTGCGAGTCGCTGCTGTGTCGTTGCTAAATCGAAGAAAATACGATTCGAAAGTTTAAAAATTTTCGTGTTGTATTGGAGGGGAAAAAAGAAAAGTTATATACACTTACGTAGTCGTCGTAGGCGTCTTTGACGGCAGTGAGGGTGAGTACCCCGATGAGGGGTATAGCTGTGGTGATGGGGGTGAGGGACGATATGGCGGGTATCAGTTGGAGCACGAGCAGACAGAGGAAATAAAAGTTGGCGAGCCTTTGGAACTGCTCGAACAGATTTAGCGGCAGGAACGTCAGGACCGTGTACTTGGACGTTTTGATGTAATTGTTCTGCAATTGCGATTGTATGTACACATATATATTTATAATATACAGACATACGTACATGTAACTTATCGCGTTTGCAAAATTTATGTTTCTTTTGTATTTTTTTTTTTTTAATCTAATTTTCGAAAATAAATAACAACTTACCGCATAGTTGAATTGCAAGTTGTACTCGCGATTGCTGGCGCGAATTCGCCTTTCTGTTTCTGCAATTGTAAAAATTTAACAAAAAATTTAGCACCATCGTATCAAACATTTTACATTTATTTAACATTTACAAAAAAAANCAAGGATTTTTCTTTTGCGAACGAGCTTTTTGGTATCCAAGGCACTATTATTACTTTTACCATAATCCACGCACAATAATAATAATAATAATAATAATAATAATAATAATAATATTGATACATACACGCCTATGATAATTATCGCATGCATAATATCTACTTTTACTTAGCAGTACCTACGAGTAAGTGTGTGCGTGTACGCATGTGTGCAAATGAAAGTTGTTAATTTCTTATGGAAAAAGTTTTTTTGAAAATAATATTTACCATACTTATAGATGAATATAAGTATATTAAACTCCTGTTTCTCGACACTTTTTCACGAGTGACGTACTTACACGGTGAGTTGGGATGTAAACGACCTCGAAATACATTTTGAAAAATGTGCATGTATAAAGTAGTACACGCATAAGAAAAATCTCATTTCTGACGTTTAAAGCGCACACGCGTGAAACGAAACCAAGAGCATATACATAATGTAACCGTCATACACCCAGATTTACACTTTTGGCGGGGAAGGGAGGGGGGCGTTTGCATAACCGGATAAATCGAGCGCCGTCATATTACCTATGTATACGGTAGTAAATAAACTAGAGTGCACTTTTAATTAACCGAGCAGTGATTCCGAGTCTCTTGGGTATAGGTATACACCGAACAGCTGTCGATTTTATCAATACAGGCATTTAAAATCGTCAAAAAAAAAAAAAAAAATCCTACTGAAATAGGCACAAAGTGGCACAAATCATCTATACATGAAAACTACTTATACGTTTTGTTTGGTAATATAATTATATAGAAAAAATTTCCACAGACCAATTATAGAGTTAAATACTAATACGACGCCTTCACTAACGATATGTACACGATTTCCGGGCGCCGTCCGAGATTGTACATTTGGATTGTTATATACATAACGAATTGCTCGCGCTTTTCCACAAATATCTCTCCGTCAAGTAGGTATCCACCCTATATGAGAGTATAGTAAGAAAGAGCGAGAGAGAAATTAATTCCGGGGTACCTACATTGCATGCAAGTTCTATTTTTCAGCACGAGTGCACGTCGCGGTCGATGAGCGGCAACCGATGACGAGTCGTGCCCGCGAATCTCCATCTCTTTGCATTTATAGTCCAATGAAATTTAGAATCAGTAGATATGTAACAATTGTTGTTTTTTTTTTTTTACCGAGGTGCTCTATATTATAAGTATATTGTAGATTTTGGGGAAACGATTGGTCGAAAATTTTTGTTCTCGCGTAACTCCCAATAGGAGTATCCATGGCACGTGTAAGTATCGTTTTATTTCCTGTTTCGAGAGCCAATAAGCAGCAAAGGCGATATTGTATTGTGTGTTTTTATCACTCCCCCATACTTCAGTACCATTTACCTATATACATTTATGATACACGAACATATAATTATATACTATAAATAATATTGTTATTTCTATATCTACTTGAAATATTTTACATGCACAATTTACAAGCTTTTACAACATACTCAGTATTAAAATTTTTCTACCAACGAAAAGGCTACACAATTTATATACGATGCACAAATTGCACATACACATAATTATACTCCCCAATAAAAACTTTGCTTTTTCTCTTGCATTTCTCTAGTTAGCGTTGAGAACTTGAAAAACAAAGCCACACAATATTTATCCTACAGCAAGAAAAGAAAAAAAAAAAAAAAAAAAAAAGGTAGTATTCAGGATGGGACTGGCGGAGCAACTCTATAGAAGATATACATTATCCTACGTATACTTGTATACGTTGAACTACATATATGTATATAAGTATGTGGGTATAACAAAAAACAATTGGGCGTATAAAACAGTAAGGTATGAATAAAAAATTCATCGAGCGTCAGCGTGCTATATAAAGGTATGTTGTTATTGTGACTATTATACAGCTACGACGAGGACGAGAGTGACGAGAGGCCTTACTGCGGGAGTCCTCGGTGACGAAGAAGCCGGCGCCGCGGCCCATGCACTCGGTGGTGGATTGGGGCGAGCTCGGGGTGGCGTTGCCGGTGGCACTCCCTGCCCCGGTGGCCGCGTTGTTGGCGCTCGGTGTGGCTGTCCTGTAGCGGGTGCCCTTCCACACGACGAGTTTCCCGAGGACGGTGAGGAGATTGTCGCGCAGCCTCGTGTGCCGGGCGCTCGCGCCCCCCAAACTGCTCGACGAGTCCCGCTTCGAGGAGCACAGGCCGTCCGTCGCGTTGCTCGTGTCCTCCCGCGATGAGCTCGCGTTGCCCCGCGCTGGCTGCTGTTTGGTTTTTCCAATGCTTATTATACGTGGGGTTGCCGGGGATACCGAGCTTCGAGGCAATTTTCTTTTCATCATTGCATATACGGGGCTTGGTTTATTCGATCGGCGGCCTATATCAACAGGGGAGGAAGGAGTGGCTCCACACGCTGGACTTCCATACTTATGTTTTTTACCAATAAATCGGTTTTTTTTTCCACTAGTCATTTGTTTAACCGTATAGTAATTACCATTTATTCAATTGTGATTTTTTTTCGTAAAATCAAGGTACGGGCATTCGACATAAAGATTAGATTAAATTCAACTAAATCAAGCGAGTTGTATACATCGTTTGATAAATATATATTCAGATCGGTACATCGTTACGCTAAACAATTATTCAACCAACTCTACGCAACGGAATAAGTAGAAAGAAAAAAAAAGTAAAATAAACACAGAGAATCGTATAATCATACATGACCGTTCGATGCGTATATATAGGTACTGTTGTTCAAAGTTCAACCGGAATCAAGAAATGTTCAATCCAATGCTTCAGCCGTTTTTTTTTTTTTATATTTACAGCTGATGTGATAACGATAATAATAATTAATCCAGCCATATAGCGTTTATATCCCGAAAGGCGCGTCGAATCAATTGAACCCCTTCGTCCCCGCGAGTCGATAAATACTGTATACGTCGAGTGAAAAAACATAACGTATATATAATATCGCCATCGTGGGAGCAAAAATGTACATCGGTGGGTACCATAGTCGGCTCAAAGTCAGAGGCGGTCCCGGCGATGGTGGTCGTGGAGAGCGACAGACAGCACGAGTCCTGGCGCTGCACCCGCCGGCTCCTCTTCCTCCGCTGGCCGAGCTTTCGGCGCCTTCGCCGTACACAGCCGCACCTCGTTGTTGCCCTCGACTCATCCTCCTCCTCCTCCTCCTCCTCCTCTGTTGCCTCCTCGTCTTCGCTACGCCGCGGCTGCGTCTCCTCGTCCTCCTCCGCCTCGGCCAGGGCGCACCTGATGGTATGTCGCGCGAGCTTCTTACCCCGGCCCTCCTGCCGAGGCTGGCTGCTCGGCTCCTCCTCGCTCGGGACGCCCATCTCCTCGTCCCCCTCGCATCGCACCTACGCGATTGTTTTTTTATTGTTTCGATCCTCCGTATATTATATATACATGTTATACAAAAAAAGGGGGGTTCCACTGGAGCCGAATTTTTTTTATTCTCAAAACTCGCGCGTGGAATGTTTTTGAATACGCTTCGAAGGTAAAAAAAAAAGAGAGAGTTACGTTGCAATGATCGATGATACACCCCATCACGTACAACGTAAAAGTTTGGAAGCCGCGTTTATAAGTGTACCCAAGTCCCGTCCAAAGCTCATTCAAAAATGATTACCATGTATACGCGGTTGAAAAGTAACTCCAACCCTGGCGTTAAAAAAGTAGGCGAGACGAGCGTCGTATACGAAAAATTCGCGTGTTCTTTGAGTTTCCGCGGGTCGAAAAAGAAAAAAAGAAAAAAAAAGAAAAAAAAAGATAATTCATGGAACTGCGAAGGAATTTTTTTTTTTTCTCAATTATTGGGGACCCGTGCCAAAAACGAGCGCACCCACCCTCTGCCGATTCACTAACTCGAGTACCCAAAGCGTCGGATGGCTTTGTGCCGAAATTAATAAGAGTGTACACAGGTGGGGCCAATTTTGTTTGCGGCACGAGTCTCGTTTGTAGCTCACCTCGAAGACCTCGAGCTCGAGCGTGTCCTGAGCCGGGTGGGCGTTCATCGCTGGAGACGACGCCACCGAGCAGAGGACGGGGGTGACAGCGAGTCGGCGTCCGCGCTTCGTCCCCCGCGGCTATGCGGGGCGACGCCAACGACCAACGATGGGGCAACGGGTAAAGCACCGCCGCCACCCTCGCCGCGGTTACCCGGTGGCGATTTCCTCGCCGTAGGGGGCCCGCCGACGACCAGCCACGCCTGTAGCAGCAGCACCAGTCCGGGCCCGACACCTGCACCGGCGGGGGAGACCGGCGGACGCATATTAGCCGGGCGGACGGGCTCTCTCGGGGCCCGCGATCGCTACCACCTGGCGTGGCCTGCGCTTCTGTATTTTATGTGTGTCTGTGTGTGTGTATTTTGATTGGCGCCTTGCGTTGTCTCTCGCTGTGTAGCCCCTGCTCGGGTGGGCCCCCTATAATATTAGCTTCGACCACGGCCGGAGCTACCGTCGGTGGCCGTCGCGTCGCTTCGCCTAAGAGGAGCGCGGGGCCCTGGCATTGTGGTCCACGTGCGGGCACCCTCGCAGCTTCCTCGCCCCCGACATCCGGATACGATGCCTGTTGTACTACACACACGCTCGTCACTGTCTTGTATTTTTTCGTGCGCATCATATAGTCTTCCTCTCTCTCTTCTCTTTTATCGTCTGTATACCCCTAGAACCTTTTGCTCGATTACCAATCTTGTTTTCTAATTTCTGCGCAATAGTTTATTCGTCACTGTGACCAACATGCCTAATACCTATAATTGTGAATAACGTGGGTTTTATTTTAACTTTGATTTATTTCTCGCAAATACCAAAATTCATTCGTCAACGGAATACCTATAATAATAATAATGTTACCCACGATTTTTTGTACGGTATGCACACGTAAAAAGGTCAGCTTTTCATATGTATG